CACAGGCCGGTAAGTGCCACTGACGATTTCAAGTCGGTCACTCCTTCGCCAGCACTGCTTGGGAACTTCAAAGGACCAGAAAGGAATTCCATAATGGGAGTTTCTTAAACTGCAAAGAAACCAAACCACCTTTCCAGTTCAGGTAAAACGTTAACACTGCAACTCAGATACAGAAAAACAACTAAAAATAAACAACTCCAGGCTTTACTGAAATAGGAATAAGAAGCCACAACCATAAAAGACTCAGGACAAGTGGTACATGGCAAGAAGCTGCACCTGAGACGCTGCCAGCTGGGAGGGTGGGGCTCCCCCGCGCCAGCCCGGACTGCTGGGTCAGGGCACTCCAGGTCTGACAGGCCGAGCCCACTAAGTCTTCTCCCGGACGCCTGCGCTAGACTCCGCCCGGGCGTCGGGGCTGGCGGGAACCCACGCCAGTCGGAGAATACCTGCGCCAGGCCTCACTCCCGTCCCGCCGGGGCCCGCAGCCCGTCTACCGGCTCACAGCTTCCCAGCCCTGCTCAGCAGCGCTGAAACCCCAGGCGGAGGCTGACCTCACACGGGCGCGGGTTGACAGGACACCCTAGACCCGGGCCAAAAGGGGCCTCTAGGACCCCGCACTGGCCCCGCACACCGGTCAGGCGTCCATCCCTCCCGCGCCTCCCCAACTCCTCCGCAACCGGCACCTTCTCCTCATGGCGGTCTCTCCAAGCAGCCAGGCGTCGTGGTCCCCCGACCTACTCCACGAGGACCCAAGAGCAGCAACCACCCGCAAACACCGTCCACCTCGCTCCCCGTCGCAGGTCCGCGAGCCGTTGGGCCCGGCGGAATTTCAAACCAAGCCCGGAGGCGGTACAGCCCCGTGATTGGCGCCGGGACCCGTCGCTCCTCGCGAAACCCCGCCTTCACCCCGCCCCTCCGGAGGCGGGACTCGAGTGCGCAGTGAGATCCCTGCACGTCCGGATCCCGGCCGCGGATCTCGATTGAATGTGGGAAGCGTTGTAGACCCACGGGGGAGGGACGGCGCTGTCTGCGCGTGCGCTCGATCAAGCCAGTCCCAGTCCTCTTCCGTTCACCACGCCGTGGAATGGGACGTCCCTCTGGAGCCAACGACCTCATCGGAGCTCCACCCCGCCACGCACAGTTTTGATTTGAAGTGCGCGCCGCTTCCTGGGGGCCTCCGGCAGGGTGCGGAGAGCTTAAGGCTAGGAGTGGCGGGAGCGAGGATTAATACAAAAAGGCCTGGGGCTTTAACTGTTTCTCTCGCTCATCCAGGTAGCGAACTTATCTGTGGTGGGAATCTTTTCCAGATATAGGAAACTATAAAGGAGAAGGGAAAGAAACTGAGCCTTGCTTACGGGTGTGATGCTTTTCTAAACAAATTATCCCATTTAATCTCCACAACAATCCTGTTAGGTAAGTATTATCGCCATTTTACAGACAAGGAAACAGTATCAAAAAAGGTTTGAGTGATTGCCCAAGTCACAAGATAGGTAAATAAATGAAAGAGGTAACCTGAGCGTGGTTTTTTCTTTCAAATAAAAAAACAAAAACCCCAAACCTACTGCCATCGAGTCGATTCCGACTCATAGCGACCATATACAGGTTTATATAATTATGTGAAATTTTTATAACCCAAAATAGGCATCAAAGTGATTTTGTATTTTCTTTTTTCTCACTGAACATATGCTACATCCCTATATGCTTACATATCATATATTTCAGTGATTTATGGTTGCATAATATCTTGTGTGTAGATATTCCATAACTCAACTATTTTGCTATAAATATGAATATTTAGATTGCAATTTTTATGATAACGCTGAGATGAGTACCTTCATACATAAGTATTTGCATCTTGTATTTTTTTTTTACGATCGGTTTCCTAGAAGTGTAATTACTAATTCATAGGATTTGTGGTTTTAACGTTCTTTTCCAGAGAGATTGTATTTATTAATTTGCTCTCCCCACCGACCCTCACGGGAAGAGTATCCTCCTCATCTTACCCTCAGCAGTGCTGAATACTGCTATACCTCTTAGCTAGTTTTGTAGGAGAAAGTGGCATTTCCTTTGTAAATCAGCACTTGTTTGATTGCAACTGAAATTGCACATTTTTCATATGCTTATTGGCCAACTAACGTCTGTGAATTCTCATTTGCCTTTTCTGTGTAAGTAAAGAATACTCGCTTGCTTCACCTTCAGGACGATGTTTTTGTCACTCAGAAAAACTTCATTGGTGTTTTCAGTGTCTTTTAACTTGTTGGCATTATGACATTCACACCACAATAAAATGAACAGGCACCTCTTTTTAAATTTACTTGCAGTCTTTGTTGATGAACTTCAAAGGAGAGTTCATCAGAAAGCTTTAAGAATTTGTGATCTTCAGACATGTACTCAGGGCTAGCATTTTAAGTATCTAGATATAAAACAATTTTGCTATCATGTCCTTTATGCTAGTATTGAAGCTTAAAATAAAAGTCGTAGAACCTTTGGAAGATACCCATTCAGAGCATATACTCAGCATGTAAAACACTGTGTCATGTCTGCAGAAGACACTTTTACATGCTTCATAATAAAATTCCCCAGTAATCACAGCTTTCCTGTCATGGGAGCTCAGCTACCTGTCCTTTCATTTTAAATTTATCCATTTACTTAACAAACATTTATTATAGAGAATTGTGCTGAGGGATGGTGCCATTATCCCTCCTCTGAAGAAGCTCACGTACTAGTGGGGATAACTAACACATAAACATCATAAAACAGACCTATCTTGTCATTCGATGGCCATCCTTGCAAACAAGAGATTGGACGATAAAGAGAACTGGTAAAACAAGCCTCTGTTGTTGTTGTTAGGTCCCGTGGAGTCCATTCTGACTCATAGTGACCCTGTGTACAACAGAAGGAAACACTGCCCGGTCCTGCGCCGTCCTCACAATTGTTGATATAGTTGAGCCCATTGTTGCAGTCACTGTGTCAGTCCATCTCATTGAGGGTCTTCCTCTTTTTCGCTGACGCTCTCCTTTACCAAGCATGATGTCCTTCTCCAGGGCCTGGTCCCTCCTGGAGGATGAGCTTCTAGATGCTCCCTTTTTATAAATGAACTAATGTGCATAGGGATTTGAAGAAATAAAGGTTTTGGTATCTTAAAACTTGGCTGACTTCACATTTATCCACTGAATGCTTTTTGTGGTGCCTGCTCAATATGAATATTTTGTGTGATTCCTATCCAGTTTCTTTTTTTTCTTCCCATCAACATTGCAATATTTTAACTTAAAAAAAAAAAAAAAACCTTTTGAATCAATTAGTTTGGAATTCTGCTGAGAAGTTGTGTCACTTTACATTATTTTAAAGTTATTTAACTTTATTACATCACTCCCATTTTTTAAGCAAACATAAACTTTGGCCCATTTTACTGATTAGGTATCAAGGACAAGCTACAATACCCTAGTGTCATGTGCCACAATAGTGTGGCGCTCCTAGCTCCAACTTGCTGGTTTTACCAACAGACGTATTGTGAACTGATAATTATTTTATGAATTAATTGGAAGGACTGCTTTTCCGCTCAGTTATACTACACAACTTTTCATATAGGGTAAGGATATCTCAAGGAACCCAGGTGTCACAGTGGTTAAGTGCTTGGCTGCTAACCGAAAGGTCAGGCGGTTTAAACCCACCAGGTGCTCCACAGGAGAAAAGACCTGGCAACCTGCTCCCTTAAAGATTACAGCCTTGGAAACACTATGGAACAATTCTACTGTATCCTATACAGTAGCTATGAGTCAGAATTGACTTGATGGCAGCCAGTTAAAGATGTCTAAGATAGATTTTCAGAGAACGGGTTTTATTTGTTTACTCTGATTTTAAGAAAGACTGTTACGGATTGAATCATGTCCCCCCCCCCGCAAAATCCAAAAATGTGTATGAACTTGGCTAGGACATGATACCCAGTATTGTGTGGTCGTCCACCATTGTGTGGTCAGATGTGATTATCCTATGTGTTGTAAATCCTAACCTCTATGATGTTAATGAGGCAGGATTAGAGGCAGTTATGCTAATGAGGCAGGACTCAATTTACAGGATTAGGTTGTATGTTGAGTCAGTCTCTTTTGAGATATAAAAGAGATAATCAGGCACAGAGGAGAGGGACCTCATACCACCAAGCAAGAAGAGCCAGGAGAAAAGTGCATCCTTTGGACCTGGGGTCCCTGCACTGAGAAACTCCTAGACCCAAGGGAAGATTGATGACAAGGACCTTCCCTAGAGCCAACGAAGAAAGCCTTCTGGAGCTGGCACCTCGAATTTGGACTTCTAGCCTCCTAGACTGTGAGAGAATAAATTTCTCTTTGTTAAGGCCACCCGCTTGTATTTCTGTTATAGCAGCACTCGATAACTAAGACAAAGTTGCATTGTGGGCAGAAACATACTTCATTTTCAGGCCTATTTCTGTTTACAAGTCAGATTTTTAAATTTCATATTTTACTCTGAGTAAAATGGACATTTATGGAACTACTGATGATAAAAAGCTCTATGTCTGCATCACATATAAAAGAAAAATCTCATACTTTTCATTGCAATTTTATATACCACTTACATATATCAATCTATTAAAATAACTTTTCAAATATAGTTTAATCATAAAAGTTTAATGTACCGGAAAATAGTTGCTATGCCTTACAGTTTTATTGTTTGTTTGGTAAGGTAACTTTCAAGTGATTTGTTAGTTTGGGAATTAATTCACACGTTGTCAATCTTTAATAGTTAGTCTCACAGTCATTTTTTTCCTCTAAGATTTTAACAGAAGTGACTTTAAAATGTTTAAGACAAGTTTCAACTGGTTTGATTTTTTCCATTATGTCAGAACTGCTACTTCCTTATACAGGGCATTGCAAAATAGCCAAACCTGGTTGTGTAGCAGCTGCAGGCACAAAACTGATGGGAAAAAACAAGTCCCAGTAACCAAGCATGATGAAATTGTAATGATGCTTGCATATCTCAGTTATCAGCAGGGGCCAGTTATGAAAATGTTGAAGTTGACCTGGCAGTATTTTGTTAAGGACTTTTTTGGTATGTTTATCCAGTATACATGCATAAAAATAGTTTTGCTCTTAGACAAAACTAATTACTTGTAACTGCTATACTTTGCTGTTTATTAAGTTTATTCCTAAATAGTAACAGATGTTGTATTTGTTCAGCTTTTTATCAGTGAAGCCGAAAACCACAGCTTTTGTTGCCTACTCCAAGGGTTAATTTTTAGTTGTGAGATGAGAAGCCAGATCAAATGTATCCATATGGCCATACTCCTTGCAGTGTTATAATGCTGAGCACACACAAAACTGATGTAGAACTTAGAATACTCAATTAGACGGCTGTTACTCCTGAGAACTTTGTGCGTGTGATCTACTCCATCTTTGTGGAGAGAGGATAACCTCTGATTCTTTCTCATTTTCTGTTATTCTAGACCTGTGCTGTCCAACATGGTGATCGCATCTGGCTACTGAGTACTTGAAATGTGGCTAGTCTGAATTGGGATGTGCTGTAAATGTGAAATACACACCAGACTTCTACTAAAGACTTAGTATGAAGATGAGAATGTAAAATAGCTCCTTCATAATTTGTATATTGATTATATGTGGACATATTTCAGATATGAGTTAAGTAGAATATATTACTAAAATTCACCTTTTTTTTAACATGGCTACCTGAATATTTAAAATTACATATGCAGCTCTCATTATATTTCTATCAGACAGCATTGTTCTAGAATGTAAGTGCAGTACACTGCCACTGTTTATTCACTTGGCCATAGGACCTTTTCTGACTGTTGCATATTCTTTCTGCAAACTAACAGCCCTGTCTACAGAGTCTGATCTTCCACACTAGCTTGATATTTGCTGTTGTTAGGTGCTATTGTGTCTATTCCAACCCACAGCAACCCCATGTACAACAGAACGAAACACTGCTTGGTCCTGCACCATCCTCATAATTGTTGCTGTGTTTGAACCCATTGTTAAAGCCACTGTGTCAGGCTGTCTCGTTGAGGGTCTTTCTCTTTTTGCTGACCCTCTACTTTACCAAGCTTGACACTGCACTGCAAAATTATAGCTAGATACTTGAGGTATGCCTTTTCCTTGGAATGTGCACTGATAATAGCATTATGATTCTTCTATGGAAAGAATACTTTTGATGCTCCAACAGCACAGACTTTGATTTCTTTCTTTTAGGGAGTGGCCGTACTGTGGAATGGGGAGCAGATGGGAGGCAGAGTAACTAACTGGAAGGGACAGTCTTGTAAAAAACCAGGCAAGAGAAAACAAGGACTTCTGCTGTGGGGTGGTGAGGAAAGGATGAACTAGAAGCATCTGGAAATAAGAACAAATAGGACAGGGTAACCCGTTGAATGTGGAGGATAAAAAGAAAACAAATCTGAGGTCAAGGATACGATTTATTGCATGAACAGAACTTGGGTAGATGATGATAATGTCAATTAAGATAGGGAACACAGGAAGAGGAGCAGACTTAGGGATTGGCAGTAGGGATAGGAGGTTCAGTTTATTTTAGACATGTTGAGTTTCAAGTGGCTGTGGAATGACTAGTTAGAAATACTAGTGATAAACTCAGGAGTGAGGTGAAAGCTAGAGATCTGTAAGTGGATGACAATACCAAGTGAGAGAGAAAGGAGGGAAAAGGCAGAACCTTGGGAGATTTCAACAAATGGGGATGGAGAGAGGAGTAATCAAAGGACACAGAAGTACAACCTGGGAGGCTGTAGGATGAAAAAGTGTCGTGGAAGCTAAAGAAGAGAATTTCAAGAAAGAAACGGTGGTCGTTGGTGACATCAAGTTAGAAGAGGACTGAAAAGAGATCAATCCATGTGGTTATATTTTTAGTTTGTAAAAGGTAAAGAGAGGCAAAGGCCACTGAAGTCAGCACTAGGAGGACACTGGTGACCTTTATAGGAGCAACTGTTTGCTGATGCCTGCAACTGCAAACAAAGGACACAATCTTTCATTCTGCAATAATAAACACAACGCTTAAAACTGAAGGGCCTCCTTATTGAAACATCACCACACTCATCTTCTCTCAGGTGAAATCAATCACAGAATTTTAGAATTGGAAAGGTGTCTGCTGGTCATCTAGTCCATCCCCCTCATTTTATGGCTGAGGAAACTCCAGAAAGGGGCAGCTTAGTGACTTTTACAAGGAAGATCAAGCCCAGAGCATACGAAGCCCCTATGTAAAGCCCCACTGTGGCTTCCCTAATGAAAACAAAGTGCGTGTCCAGAACTACAAACATACTACATTAGAGTATAGATAGGCTTTATTTACAATGATATTCAAAAAAGAATTAGCAAAGGATACTTCTTTTCCCTTTTGTATCTTATGAGCAGGAGCTGTACTTCACAAACAAAAAGGAGAAATCTCCTGGGTGCGGGAAGTGAAGGCCTCAGATATGCTCTCCAAATCCCAAATAAGTTGCAGGCTTCCCAGCTCCTAGCAGGTACTTGGTGGACACTGTTAGCAGCTGGGTGCTGAACTCCTCCAGCCCACTGGGGAATGTGTCCAGGGAAGACTCCAACGTTGGCTGGGGAAACTTCAGACTTTCACTTCACTCATGGCCTCCATAAGGCGAGCACTGTTCGTCACTGCTGTCGTCAGAAAAATGAACCTGTACCCTAAGGAGTGAAAGCAGCAGCATGAATGACAGAGAGCATATCTTAAGCTCCCACCAGTAACTATGGACACGCTGCAGTTCCACGATCCTCCGCTGGATCAGAGAGCAAATTTACACACATGGAGGCATCAGTTCCATGCTCTTGGGTACAACTTGCCAAGCCGGTAGAACTGGGCTCCCTGCTATAGCAGCCCAATAGCAAGGCTATGACAAGTGGTACCCAGAGGCCAGGAGAAAAGGCTGCCTGGGCCCTTTCTCCCCCAGATCCCATGCAGGTCTGTTCTCACCTTTCCGTTCTCTTACCTTTCTCTCTGCCCAGGAACCGGAGAGCTGAGAGCTCAGAGAATGTGCAGCCACCCAAGAACACCACCAAGATGAGACGCAGGGACTCGCTGGAAGCCTTGTCTTCCTTGGTCATGTCTGTGAGGATTAGACCAGATGCAAGTCTTCACTGACACGCTAGTACTGGGTGATGCATCTAGTTCATCGCTCGTTACCACCTGCCCCTACTTGTCAATGCCACATACCTGTGAAGGCAAACTCACTGCAGTTGAGCAGCCGTACCACTTCATCAAGGCCCTGCCAGCTTCGCCGCTCCAGTACCTGGGAAGGTGCAAGCACTAGTTTCAAGTCTACAGACGGTATTAGACTTAGGAAAGAAAGGGTGCAGCAGCCAGACTGTCGTGTTTCTTGCTAGTTACTAAGGTAGTAAAAAGTTGGGGTATGCCAGCTTCACAGGGACCAAATTAATGGCAGAGGGAGTGAGATATGGATGGGAGCTAGAGTCACTTGTTCTCACCTGCTCAATGATTCGGCAGCTAAGGGGCACATAAGCACCACTGAAGACATAGGCCATGTCCCGTGGCACTTTTAGGTCATACTCGCCATCCACACGTGGGATCTAGAGAGCAAAGGGTAGTATAGTTGGCAAATGACAACTTGGCCCTCTAGTCCTTTAAAAGGTCATATAAAGGTGGCATATCCAAAAGAAGAGTTCTTATTCCAACTAAAGGGGGAACCAGCAATAGCCCTGAAAAAAAATCTGTAACCACAGATTAAAGCTTCTGTTCCAGACACACTGATTCTCTTGAATGAGTCCTCATGCTCCCCATGAAGGAGCTAGAGGAAGGGTTCTTCCTTCTTAACCCTTCAGTGACATGGGACGTTAACTGAAGTAGCACTTAGTGTATGCTCTGGCATTGGTAGGTACTCATTAAATATTTATTAGATGAATGAATCTTTGGGCCTTGTCTCATTATTGAATTAACCTCATGCCATAATGCTACCAAATAGCAGTATCTTTATAAAACTACAAAATGACAAGAAGGGTTTTGTGGATTCAAAGTACTCCACAAAGAACTGAACCCACTGCCTCCCTTATCCATCCCTGTTCCACATACCAAATTCAGCTTTTTGCTGATGGCACGAAAATTGCTCCTCTTGGCCAGAGAACTGAAGGCATCAGTAATCCTTCCTGGGGAAGAAATCTGTGCTAGGTTTTATCTAACGTCTACAGGTTCATGACACTCCCATAGGCAGAACCATTCAGGAAATGAAGGGCTGCCTCTTCTCAGAAGCATGTCCTATCATATCTGAAGAACCTCAAAGCCTTTCACCTATAGTTCCCTGGAAATGATCAAGACATCCACCACCCTTCTCCCTATCCACAGTCTTCCTCCTACAGGATACCAGCTACCTATGAAATGCAATCTACAGGATGATCCTAGTTTATCTGTTAAGTGTATAGGCTTTGGAGTCAAACTGACCTGGTTTCAAATCTGACTTACTGAGGGACCTTCGACAACTCATTTAAGCCTCAGTTTCCTCATCTGTAAAACAGGGATAATAAAACTAACTTATAGAGTCTGTGAGGATTGGATGAAAAACTATCTACAGGACTTAGCACATGGCATAGCACTTGCTAAGTGTTCAATAAATGGAAATTGCTCTTACTAGCAGAAATATTACAGAAGTAGTAATGACAGTAAGAAATCACATTCTCCTTCCCCAGCTCATTCTCTCACCCTTTCAGGGTGCTCAGCCTGTTGAGAAAAGACAAAACAACAGTGGGGGAGGGTACCTGTGCTCCCTGCTCACCTGCAGCCTTGTCTGTCACCAGCTTGCTCACTTTGCTCTCCACTGCTGTGAGGGTGTCCCCTGGGGCCTGCTCTGTGAGAAGCCCAGCTCGCCGCAGATTGGAGAAGGTTAGCAGGTGCTCAGGACCATAGCTCTGAAGAAAATACAATCCAGCTATTTACTGAGCTTCCACCAAGGGTCTAGCACTGCAAAGTGATACAGAGGTGAGGGAGAGAAGGATTATGTGGTCTAGGCCCTGAAGGAGCTCACACTTTTTTTGTGAAAGATTTTCAGCCAGAAATAGCCAAACAACAAACAAAGAAGAAGAAAGAACAGTCTGAAACTATTAAAGAATATGGAAAGCGATGGATGTAAGGATGGCCGAGAAGATGTCACGGATGAGGTACGACTTGAGAAAAACCTTGAAGGAAAGCTGTATCGGTGGCTCCCAAGGTGCTACGATGAAAGGGAGAGACCTTGGGCTAGGAACTCCTCACTGAGTTCAACAGGGCAGAAGTGTTTGAATTCCCTCAGCACTGGCTGCCCACCATGAGAGGGGAATGGAGTGAAACAAGGGCAGTGGGAAGAGTCTGATGTCCTGAAAGGTGACTGTCTCTAGTCCCTCTAAGGAGGAGGCTTGAATGAGAACAGGATGGTGATGGGAACAAGAAAGGGTCATTTCTCCTTTTGCCTCTTTCAAAAATGTCCAATGATTTCCCTCCAAGTTCCCTCAAGGATACATTCTCCTTACCTGCAGATACTGGGTTTTCAGAGATCGGTAATCCTTGGGGATCAAACCTTAGGGCGAGGAATACAACAGGTTAATGAGAGAGAGGCTAGAATGTATAGCCAAACCAACCAACGATCAAACAACTCCACCCACCAAAAAAAATAAAGAACCTTAATTAGGAGGAAGGATTCAAAAATTATGTTAACCTTGTATCATATACTATTCTTAACTGATTTGTAAATTTAAGCTTGCTTACTGTAAGATAAAACCTGGGTCTGAGAATTCCAAGAAGAACCCTGAATCATAAGGTGCTGAGGAAGGGACACTGAAATTAATGCTAATTATAGGAGGGGTTATGGCAGGAGGGAGAAGTGACTTCTTGTGCACTTCTTCCTAGCTAAGTGGCAGATACAGTTAGATAAGGAGCCCTGGTGCTGCAGTGATTAAGTGCTGAGCTGCTAACTAAAAGGGTGGTGGTTCGAACCCATCAGCTGCTCATCAGTAGAAAGATGTGGCAGTCTGCTTCCGTAAAGACCAAAGCCTTGGAAACCCTATGGAGCAGTTCTACTCTGTCCTATAGGGTGGCTATGAGTCAGAACCAACTGGATGGCAACGGGTTTTGGTTTTTTGGAGGGGGCAATTCTATTTGGAACTGCTTTACAGCTACTTAGGAATAGGAAAAGTGTTCAAGTGGGTTTCAAAAGTGCAGTCTCATATGTTTTTATCCATTGAGGTAAGAAGAAATGGACCTCCAACTCCAACAGGAGATTTAGAATAGGCAAAATACTTTTCTGGGAAGCTAGCAACCTTAAAGAATATCTGCCAAATGGAAGACTAACAACAAAAACAAGCTGCCATAGAAGGCTGCAGATCTAGGCTTTTAGAAATGCTTATGAAATTAGCTGGCTGTCCCTTTTTCCTGAAATACATCTTTATTATGAAGTTTCATTGAAGGTGGGAGACCTGGTGGAATGACGAGAGAAATGCTACTCAGCTCTATGCCTTTGCAGTCCTAAGATATGACAGGCATTGTTCTGGGGCGGCCTAGACGTGGTCCGGCTTAGGGCTGGGACAATGAATTACTCTGTGACCAGGTGATGTTTCACCTGAAAACAAAAACTGCTTTATTTTACAAGGAAAACAATCCATGAAGTTTCAGAAAAACGTCTGTTTGCTAAGGTATTTGTCCCTGTCTTTCAAATGTACTTCTTCTGTCCCTGAGGCAGAGTTTCTTGACCTCCCATCTTCAGTCCCTGGGACTCACCGTTCTCAGTGATGGACAAAAGGCACATGAGACGAAGGCTTTCTATCAGCGACACCTGCACAGAAGGAAAGAGTCAATGAGAATCCAAGTTTCCTGACGCACGTTCTTCTCTCCTCTTCCTTCTGCTTGAGGCAGATCCTACTCTAAACACACCATCCCCGGCTCCCCCCGCCCCTCCTGCAGGCTCACCTGCCGGTCTATGTGTTCCTCAATGTAGCCAGTGCTCTCCCGGATGTTGAACCCCTCTAGCAGTGCTGTGGGTAATCAGAAGAGAGCCTGTTACTGGGGAATCAGCTCAGCTCTTGCCATCTATGCTAACAAGCATCTGTCTCCCCAACTCCTTCTCCATCCTCAGGGTGGGTTAAGGGACCCCAGGACTTCTAGCAGGAACCAGAATTCCACACAGCCAGTGTCAGCTGGGAAGAGCCAGAGAGCATCTTTCAAGGGTGGGCTGGGGCAGGGAGCCAGGGAAGTAGAAGCTCGAGAATTCGCACAGCAAGGCTGCTGCAGTTACCATGCTCGGTCTTGATTAGCTCCTGGAAATCCTGCTTGGTTTTCTTCTTCATGATGGACTCGCAGGCCCCAATATCTGCAGACAGGACAAAGAGGAAGCTGATAGATTCCTAATTCTAGAAGGATGTCCTTTTTTTGTCCAGAAAAATAAAAACCTGTTAAGGCAAAATCCAAAAGACTTCTTCCTACTTTAGATCAAATAAGTCCATTGCTGTATTTCAAGATGAGCAGGGGTATCCTCTGGGGAGGCAGTGTTCCTCTGTCACATTCCCCTTGGGGGATACAGATTCACTTCCCCTCCCCATCTCCTCAAGCTGAAACCTACGGAGACTCAGCAGGCGGTGCTCCTGTTTCAGTCCCTTGAGTTCCTGAGACACGAAGTTCTTCATCTGCTTGATGTCCATGCCTCTCCGGCGCTGCAGGGAAGTCCCCATGAGGTCATCTCCTCCCTGACCTCAGGCACGAGAGCTACCACCCTCCCTGAGATCCCACCCATCTAAGACAAAAGTCAGAAGGGGAGCCAAAGGGCAGCAGCCTTGAGAAGCCACAGAAGAAACAAAAGAGGACCCAGGGCTTGGAGCCTCACATCATACTGGGCCTGTAAGTTCCGGGCCTTTTGGCTCAAGAAGCCAAAGACGTTGGAGAAGTGCTCGTTACGAATCTCATTAAACACCTGTGAGGGGAACATGACCAGGAAAACTTACTATGCCAGAACCGTAACTTCTACCTCATCAGTGTTCTTCCCTAACTCATTAACATACATGATATTACAAGAATGTACAGCTGTTCTAGCAGAAGTACAAAGAAAGCTCAGCTAGTATCAATTAATAGTAAGTATACTTGAAGAACCTCCTATGTGCTCTGAGGTGTGCTCTTAACTGGCAGAGAAAATCTGTTTCTCATAGACTTAGCTTCCCATCCCAGAGCCGAAGCCCAGAGCCTCCTGTAATCAGTACCCCTGGGTAAATTCACTGCTAGCACCCAGACCCTCACCTTGTCCTCGGCATTGAGTAGCACCTTCAGACTCCTGTCAGAGGATGTAACTTCTGGGCCAAAGTCGACACTCCCTTTGAAAGCAGAAGGGATGGCTATGAGCATCTCCAATGAGGCCTATCTTCTACCCTTTCCTGAACTGCCACGAAAGGTCCCCAGAACTATTTGGAAGCCAGCAGTTCACTCAGAGTCTGGGTGCCCCCACAATCCCTGCCACACTGTGAGCAGCACCAGGAGCTGATGACACTTTCATCTTGCCTAGACACAGAAGACAACAGCGCTTACCACACTTGATGCGGAAGGTGTCGTCCACCAGGCCCTCGTAAACCACTTGGGAGCAAAGTGCTGTCACAAAGTCCACATCTGAAACCAAAATCCCTGACCATGAAGGTTCTCCCTGACCCAGCCTTCTCCCCAGCTTGCTCAGTATCAACTCAAGTGCCTTCCACAGGGCCAAGTGCCCATGCTCCTAGTCAACGTTGGGATTCACAGCCTTACATTTAGGTCCTAACTTTGCCACCATGGTTTCTATAGTCCCATGTCTTCTATGGTCCAAAGACAAGAGTAGTGCTGGGCATAATTTTACCTCTGTCCAGGAGAAAGACATGTCCAATTTCTGGCCTTCGGCCCTTGGTTTCACCATCCTCCTCCTCCTCCAGTTTTCTCCACAATTCATGTGACATCTGCCAGGGCCCAATAAATTCTCAATCTTGTGTCCAGGTCCCTACTGCAGCCCCATACCTAGAGAAGCCAGCCCCAAGAGGGGAGCTAACTATTAACGCTATTCTACTCACACCTGCTCCTAATCCTCCCCTCACATACCAATGAAGAAAGAGCATTACCCTTACCCAAAGATTAAAAAGAGATTTAGGAAGGCTATCCAGGAGGCCCTGGCTCTTGTCTTTCTGTTAGCCACACAAACTTCCCTCTCTGAGGAACTACTCCAGAACAATAAAAGCAAGACTTTCCACAGATGCCCGTGGATAGTCCTTGGGCACAGAACAGGTGAAATGGGGCTACTGGGACAGCAGTACTGCCGGTGCTCTCACCTTGGCACATCTACCAATTCCATAGCAGTTAGGAAAGGACCCATAGAGAGTGCTGAGAAGGTGCAAGGCCTGTGCCACAGTGTTGATCCAACGCTGATCTCCTTCCTGCAGGGCCCACACAGGCCGCAAAGATACAGATCAACCCAACAGGCCCATCTGGATAGTAGCCGGCCCTAAAAACCCTGGTGTGGGAAGGCAGGGTCAGGGAATGCTTGAGAATTCATTTTGATTGGCCCCGGAGGAAGTCCCGTGGACATCATCAATCAGTAGCACCCAATCACCACATCACTGTCACTCATGATAAATTATATGCATTTGACAAAGTTTAGATCAATATTTCTAGCCCACTGGATCCCACGTTTCCCCCCATCCCTTGATGACAAGACCCAAGGGCCCTGCATTCACCAGGAAGTAGTCCCTGAAAAATTCTGGTAGCTCCATGCTCAGCAGATCCACATCAAGAGGCAGCAAGGAGAAGGCCCATTCATCACAGCTCACATCTGTGGGTAGAGACAGCATCAGCCTCCCTTCAGAAGGCACTTGGTTCCATATTAAGAGGGAAGGTCCACCACAGTCATGCAACAAATATATGAGTGGCTGCCACACACAGGGACTGCACTAAGCACTGAGCATTCAAACATGAGTAAGACACAGCCTTATTACACAAACTATTTTATTACAACAGTGCTCCAAAGAAGTAAAACAACAAGCCATGAGCATAAATATTACAGGGATCTAACCTCAACTAGGGGTATAGGAAAGACTTCCTTAAAGAAGTGACACTGAAGCTTAGAATTTGAGTAAGATTTGGGTCGGCGAAAAGTTGTAGGGTAGGGAACATTCCAGGCAGCAACAACAGCATGTGCAAAGTCCCTGTGGCTAGTGAGTCAGAGGAAAGGGGGCAACACATGATGTGTCTAAAAGGATAGGAAGGGGCCAGACTGTACAAGGTGTAGGGGGCCATGTTGAGGATTCTGGGCTTAATACTGAGCCACTGCAGCATTTTCAGTAGAGAGTACTGTGATCAGGTTTGTGTTGCATGGGAGAACGGAGTGAGGAATACATGGAAGAGGGAAGGTACAATTCTTCCCTGTGGGAGTCTTGGAAGGTAAGAATAGTTGGTCATTTCCAACTACAAACCTTGGTATCCCTTTTACGCTATCCCACTAATATTCTAATTTGAGATCCTACTCCCACCCCCCTTCTCAGGGGTCTCTTTCCTCCTGCTAGGTCAACAAAAATAAGACAAAAGAAGAAGATGGGAGGACACAATTATTTCCTTCTTCCCGTATGTTGTGTCTCCCTTTCCACTCACATTCATCTCATCTCACCTCCATAGATTCCCTCTTCCTCAAGCACCATCTCACATGCATAAAACTAAAAGAGAAAAGGAAGTTGATTAGTAACAACCTCTTTCTCTGTTCTATTTCTCTGGAGTTCATCTATGGTCACTGATGAGAACATAATGATTCTTGAACTCAGTGAAAAAGACATGAGAACCCAGACTCTTAGACCTAGAAAGGACCACTAGAATCATCTAGCCCAACACTTCATTTACCTTTTCACACATTTTATTTATTTATTTAGTCAATTGCTTCTTTCTCCATGAGAGACTGGAAAAGCTTCACCAAAAAGGTATTCCAGCTGTGTTTGAAGGGTGAATCCTGTAGCCAGAGATGGGAGGAAGTGCATGAAAGTGCTATAGAAAATGGTGGAGCAGGAACAAGTAGGAGTTAAAGGGCGGTGTTGGGGACATGGTTCTGTTTAGCACATGTCCATGGGACCTCAAGAAACGCAGTTCCCAGGAAAGATGTCTGGAGAAACAGCCTTGGGAGTCAATGGCGTGTATGTTGTAGTTAAAGTGGATGGTTTGTCCAAGAGAAAAGACTACAGAGTGAGAAGAGAGCTAAGGATGGGACCCTAGGGAACAGCAAAATTAAATGGGTATACAGTGCAAAAGCTGCCACAGAAGACTGAGAAGACACCTAGAAAAGCAGAGGCAGGAGAAAACAGTACCACTATCATCAGGGGGAGGAGCCCTGGTGGTGCAATGGTTAACCACTCAGCTGCTAACCAAAAGGTCGGTGATTTGAACCCACCAGCTGCTTTGCAGGAAGAAGATGTGGCAGTCTGTTTCCGTAAAGACTACAGTCTTGGAAATCCTATGGGGCAGTTCTACTCTGTCCTATAGGGTCGCTATGAGTCAGAATTGACTCAGTGGCAATGGGTTTTATAGTCAGGGGAGGCTAAAGTTTCCAGGAGGGCTGGGCAATTGTGTCAAATGCCAGAGAGGTTAAGTGGGATAAGCATTAAATAGACATCACTGAATTTGACAATAGAGATCTTAGGGGGATTAGATTAAAAGATAAAGGTGAAAGTGAGGCAGCAGAAGTAATGACTGCAAACAATTCTTCACAGAAGTCTAGCTATGACAGAAAGGAGATCCCTTCATAGGGAGAAGAGATGAAAAGGGAAAAACTGTTTAGAAGGGACCAGACACGGCTGAAGACAGAAAAGAATCTACCTGATGAAGCACGACAGTGGAGAAGGCAGATCTGGATGGGGCTAAGCATGAGTGAAACAGCTGATCGTGGAAAGGAGAAGGCCAGTATATCCTCCTCCTTTAAGATAAGTGAGAAAAGGATGAACTACTTGGAGGTACGGAGGAGGAAAGTGGAGGGCACTTACATCAAATGATGATGATGACAAAAATAATAGCTAATATTTATTAATCACTTAACATGTGCTAGACCTTGTTCTTAGTATTTTATAAGGATAACCTGTTTTAATCCTCATGATGATTCTATGAGGTGTGAAAGATTAATGCTATGTGCACCTTACTTTACTGTTACACAGCAGAACCCTATTTATCCCTCACTTATTTCTGCCAATAAAACTGAAATCTATGGGCCTGCTTTTAACATCTTTTTTTGCCATTTCAACAATCTTCACGTGTACAGCTCAATGACATTAAATATGTTCATCATGTTGTTCAACCATCACCATTCCCAAATTTTTCCATCACCCTTAACAGAATGCTTTTAACATTTGATGCCAACTAATGAAATTCCAGAGCCTGTCTGAAAACTTCCAATCCTCATAATTAATAAAGGGGATCTCAGGAAGAGATAAAGGAGATGTCTCCTCTTCCCTAACGCTACTGAAGGAGGGATCTTCCTGTGGCATAAAATTAGGTCAAAGAATTTGACTAGATTGGGTGTTAAATGGAGAACACTTATAAGAAAATCCATTTTGTTTTTCTGTGTAATATGGAGGCTTGTAGGATTCTTCAAAACGATTACCTACTTGTTCTATCCCTTGTTAATATAAATCTGTCCTTGGAAGTATAATTTTTTAAAAAAGTGTTTTGCGTCTGGGGTCATTAAAGCTTGTGAGTAGCCATCTAAGATACTCCACTGGTCCCTCCTTATCTGGAGCAAGGGAGAATGAAGAAAACCAAAGACACAAGGGAAACATTAATCCAAAGACGGACGGACCACAATTTCCACAGCCTCCACCAGACTGAGTCCAGCACAACAAGATGGTACCTGGCCACTACCACCAACTGCTCTGACCGGACAGAGCTGGAAAAAAACATAGAACAAAATTCTAACTCACAAAAGAGACCAGACTTACTGGTCTGACAGAGACTGGAGAAACACCAAGAGTATGGCCCCCAGACACCCTTTTAACTCAGTACTGAAGTCACTCCTAAGGTTCACCCTTCAGCCAAAGATAGACAGGCCCATAAAACAAAACAAGACTAAATGGGCACATCAGCTCAGGGGCAAGGACGAGAAGGCAGGAGGGGACAGGAAAGCTGGTAGCGGGGAACCTAAGGTCAACAAGGGGAGAGTGTTGACATGTTTTGGGGTTGAGAACCGATGTCACAATACAATATGTGTATTAATTGTGTAATGAGAAACTAATTTGCTCTGTAAACCTTCATCTAAAGTACCAAAAAAAAAGGTTCTGTAAGACTTCCAAAACACTTTAGAAATTATTGCCATGGCTCTTTTAACAACATTCAAAAGTAACCTGTAGTTCTAATCAGTTATCTTACTTGATAATTTCTTGCCCAGGTAATAATGTTATTAATACTTGATATTTTTGTATTCGTAAACAGGATAAATATTTGTAAGATTGCTCTATCAAACTTCAAATGATCTTCAAAGGAAGCATTGGCTCTTTCCTCTTATTCCTTCTCCATGATGAGAAAACAAGATAAGCCTATGATTCCCCTAGGTTTTTTTTTTTTTTAAATTTTAACAGAGATTGAAAGTATTATCTCATTTAAATTAAAAGAGATAAGTAGTATTATCAACTCTGGTTTATAAATGGAAAAACTGAGACCCAGAGCACTTAAGTAACTTATCCAAGATCACACAGGTAATGAGAGCTAAAGCAAGGATTCACACCCAGACAGTCTGGCTTTAAAGCCTTTACTCTTAGCTAGTGTTTCTAGTTTCTCAAAAATGTTCTTAGAAAAACTGAAAAGAAATAAATCATTGCCCTTTAAACTTTAATTTCTACCTGCTCTAGGAGTGGCATGCACTAGTTGGTAGTTTACAGGTCTATGGCTGGCAATGTAAAGGCCTGGTACATCATTCCTTTCAATCAGTGAGACTGAGGATGTACCTATGATGTACCTAGCACATGCGGAAGCAAGAGGGGAGGTCACTGGAATCAAGAAACTGAGATACTATGATGGTTCACCAAATAATGACTGGAGTCACTGAGGTTAAGATGGAAGACACCTACCCTGCTAAATCACTGTGTGACCGTGAGCTTCAATGCCCTCATCTGCTTAAAGCTGGGGTGGTGTAAATGGTCTCTAAAGTTCCCTTCTTGTGTAAGAAAAGGCTTTTCCAGAATATGCTGGTATGGTAACCCAGGGGCAGTCCAGCCACATCCCTTAGATGAGTATGTGTACGGGTGTGAGTGTGAATGTGTGTGCTGATTATTTATTATACTTATTATTATAGAATTCCTGATACAGGGAGAAAGTCATTGAAAAGCCATAACATTGTACACCATTACTATACAGGAATTTGTGTTAGAAGGGATACATGGCAGGTTCTACTTCAAAAGTGGGAATCCTTTCATTTAAAGAAATCTATGTTGCAGCTACCCCTCACAATTCCACAGTACTTCATTTGGGGTCAGTATGATGAAAGACCCTCTGCTAAACAATGAGGGCTACATTAACAAAAAGACAGTATTTTTTCCCAGTCATACACAAATTGCTTTGAAGGAGTTAGAGCAGTTGGTCTTGTACCCCTTCCTAGTCCTCAATCCTGTCCTACCTTATTCCGCTTTCACTAGGAGCCACTCACCTTCTGAGGGCTGAAGATCACTTTGTATTTTCGAGTCCGGCCAGCCAATTTGTCAGTATTGACAAGATCTACAGAGAGAAAGAATGCAACTCAGAAAGCCAAGGGCCATTTGTTAGACTAAAAGCAAGGGAGCAGACATCCTCTACAAATGGTATAGCCAACTCGAACAATTCTTTTCTTATTAAACGGTCTTTATAGCCAAGGTCCTTAGATCTTGCCTACCCCTTCCCAGGTCTTAGCTACAATGTAGTACCATGGCATACTCACTGGCAATGTATCGCATATTCTTGATGCGGGGTCTGACCAAGAAGCACAATCTATGGAAGAGAAGCAAAATGAAAAAAAAAAAACAGTGAAGAAAAATCATGAAGTTGGTGATAGCAGCTTAAAAGAAATTAAAACAATACCAATTCTTTCACCACTTTCCCTTCTTAACAGGGCCTACAGTTCTCATCCCAGCCAAAGCTATGCCAGCTCTCTTGGCCTACCATATACCGGCCATAGAAGATATTCCTGAATTCAATAGATACACTGTGTGTGGTAAGCTGGGAGCATTTATTGGCCCTATAGTGGACCCAAAAGTTCCTGCTCTCAAATCACTTACAATCCAATGGAAAAATAAGATGTATTAATGTATGGAGTATATTAACAATCAAGTGCTAAGAAAACAATACAAGAAAGTAATATAAAATATGTATTTTCAAACTGGGGTCCATGGATGTTTTCTCCATAGATGTATTCTCCAAGCATCCAGGAGAATTTTATTTTTCCCTCTAAGAGAGGGTGTATATTACTTAAGTTTGAGAAATATTAAAAAACAACAACAAATAAAACCAGATAACATAAGCAGTATATGACTCTGTGCCAGGTAAGCAGGACAAATGCTGAACACCAAAGAAATCTAAAGGAGGAGAAAATCACCCTGAACCGGAAAGGCAACAGAGCTTCACAGAGGAGATGAGGCTGGGCTATGAGGAAGAGGTATTCTTTACAGAAGCAGCAAGGACAGGAGAGAATTTCAGGTAAGTGAATGGAGTACCCAAAAGGGCAAAGGCACATGCACACAGTGGAGGCCTGAAGGGGAGCATGTGAGAGACAAGGCTGGGAAGGTGGTGTGAGGTCACATTGAGAGAGCCTTGAACTCTCTGATGAGCAATTCGGACTTTACTTGGTACGTCATGGGAAGTCTTCAAGGTTCTTGAGAAGAGCAAGATGAAAATACTTTTGAAAGGTTAATCTGGTTATAAATAGTAGATTGGATTACAGAGGGAAGAGGAGAAGGGTGGAAGAAACTGCAGGAAGGGAGACCAATTAAGAGATATTATGGATTGAATTGTGTTCCCCAAAAAATATGTGTTGTAAATCCTAACCACTATACCTGTGGTTATAAACCCATTTAAGAATGGATTTTCTTTGTTATGTTAATGTGCCAATATTAGTGTAGGGTGTATCTTAAGTCAAACTCTTTTGAGATATAAAAGAGTGGATTAAGCAAGCAGCAAGAAAGCACAGATGGGGAAATATAGATGCCATGCCACATGAGATCTCCAAGGAACAAAGAAATAAAAGCTGAGAAGAGACAAGGACCTCCCCCCAGAGCCAACAGAGAGAGAAAGACTTCCCCTAGAGCCGGTGCCCTGAATTAGGACTTCTAGCCTCCTGAACTATGAGAAAATAAATTTGTTTGTTAAAGCCACCCACTTGTGGTATTTCTGTTATAGCAGCACTAGATAACTAAGAGGCTAACACAATAATCTAGGCATGAAATTGTAGAAGTTCAGAGAAATAAACTATATCAGAAACACCACAGGGCCACATCTTAGCCATAGTACAGATCAAAGGTAAATGTGCAGGGACCTCCTCCAGCTTGGGGCCACGACAGATTCTCCCAGACACTCACTGTTCATTGGAGCTGAGGACTGGCTTGTTCTCCACCTTGTACAGCTTGTCCACTTCATGTTGCTAGAGAAAAATCCAACAATATAATAGACATAAAAGCGCTTGAAAAGCCCAAAGCTTGATACAAAGCTAGGGAACTTCTATAATGGCCTTCTATTTACACTAAATCTCGGAATCAAACTGCCTCCTAACAACCATCCCACCAAACCTTTCTCAAACTGCACTAAGGAAACCAAAAATAAAACAATATGAAATAACCCCAACAGCATCAATCTGCCTTTGTCCACCCAATTCAGCTATCCTGTATTTACCATAAGGGTTGTCACTCTTCAGTAATTTCAGCTGTTCATCAAAGAATAACTGCTAATTAAAGAGGATAGAGGTGCATGAGTCCATCTAGGAAAAGGGGCAGATACCTTCAGGATGGAGACATTGGCAATTCGATCCAAAGGGCTCATCAGATCTGCCTCAATGAACAAGTCCTTTTTTCCAGGAAGCTGAAGGAGACACAGTATATTGGGTCACTCATATGTCACACAAGGTCTCTCAGCTGAGAATTCATCCATCCATCCATTTAACAGAATCACAGTTTCCGAGTTGGAAGGGCGCTAGACATCATCTAGCCGAGCACCTTATTTACTGTCTGTAGCCACCACTGACATTTCTCTGTATGGTCTTTGTATTGACGTTTCTCTGTATATTCACCTATTCTGCTTTCTTTTCATTTTCTGTACCAGTGGGAAGATATTCCACCTTCTAAGGTTAACTCTTCCAGCTGTGCTTGTCACCCAACCCTTCTGCTCGCCTGTGACCTTGTTCTGCATCACTGCTCTTCTTCTCCACTGCCTCCTCCACTCTGCCTCCCAACAATCCCTAGTCTCCCCTTGTTGAACAAAGCCAAACAAAACCAGATCTCACCTTGCATGCTGCAACCCCCTCAATGAACTGCTAAATATCTTCTTATGTAGGACTGTTCTTCTAATTACAAAAATAACTATGCTCGATGCAAACAACTTAGAAAACCCAGGACAGTCCTCACTCTATCACCCACCCACTCACCCTGTCATCTGATTCCTGCATCATCACTCTTGACACTACTCTCTTCTGTTCAGAGGAAGGAGAGGTTACATTCAGTGGCAGGGAGGGAGAAATCATCAGAAGTTTCCTCTCAGCTAGGCCTTGACAAATGGGATAGGGTGTGGACAGGGATATATTAACAGGGCCATCCAGATAGAGGTAACAACAAAGGCCAGGGAAAGAGTATAGGCAGAATGGTAAGGGCAAAAAAAGCAATTCAGTTTGGCTGATGCATAAAGTACACAGACGGCCTTGGTTCTCAGCCAGAGGCAATTTTGCCCTCCAGAAGACATTTGGCAATGTCTGGAGACATTTTTGATTGTTTGATTCTAGGGTAGGGGGTGTCGTTGGCATCCAGTGGGTAGAGGCTAGAGATTCTGCTAAACATCCTACAATGCACAGGAAAGCCTACCACAACGAAGAAGTATCCAGCCCAAAATTTCAATAGTGCTGAGGCTGAGAAATCTTGATGTAGAGGAATGGTGGGGAAAAAGGCTGCAACAGTGGACTAGACTAGAGCCTGGAGGGCCCCAAATGCCAGACTAGGGAGTTTGGACTTGATCTTCTATGGAACAGGGGAAAATGGAAAGCTTCTGTGCACCAAAGCATTCCAATCAGCTATGCATATTAGTTAGACCAGTCTGACAATTGTGGGTCAAGTGGATCCGAAGCATGAGAAACTGGAGGCAGGGGCCCACTTATGGGGTTAATGCAACAGTCCAAGCAGTTCAAGCATGTGGCAATGCAGGAGGACTCGATTTAGGCTGGTGGCAGTGTGAAGGAGGAAAACTCATGGCACAGTGGTGAAGAGCTATGGCTGCTAACCAAAAGTTCAGCAGTTCGAATCTACCAGGTGCTCCTTAGAAACTCTATGGGGCAGTTCTACTCTGTCCTATAGATTCGCTATGGGTCAGAATCAACTCGAAGGCAATGGATTTTAGTGTGGAGGAAAATAGATTATTTAAGAGATATATGGAATATATTTTTTAAATACCTGAAGGAAATTAACAGTGGTTGTATCTGATGGTAGGGTTTAAGTGATTTTTTTTCTTTATACTTTCCCTTATCTTCTAAATTTCCTATAATGTGCAAGTGTTATTTTATAATTATTAAAAGTCTCATAGAAGAAGAATCTGTAGGACTCAGTGACTGGTTTGGTTAAGTATAAGGAGGGAATAGAATCAAACACGATTCTGAGGTCTCAAGACTGAACAGCAACGTCCATAACAAGAATTAAGTCAGAAGTTTGTCTAGGGAGGATATTACTACACTGAGATCCACTTGGGCCACAATGAGTCACCCTTGCTGGCTTCCTCCATCACCTACACTCCATTTACAAGTTTCTGTCCTTGGTCTCATCAACTCTCTTCACGTTGATCTCACCTGAGCTAGTGTCTTTAACTAGAACCTCTATTCAATTCCTCAGACATTTGCTGAGTGTCTTTTACACGCAAATCACTGTGCTGGCACTATCCGACACTTCAAAGAGAAATAAAATATGGTCTCTGATTCCCTAAGGTTCCTTGAAGGAACTCCTAAGTCTCCACCTTCATCCCAGCCTCATGATAGAGCTGCAGCTCTACATTTCTATCTGCTGGATGTAATGAACTACATTTCCCACTGACATCTTAACTTTGCCTATCTGAACCCAAACTAATCAGCTTCCCTCAACAAACCTGTTTCTCTAATTCTTTTTTTTTTCATTTCCATTCAATGTTCATGCAACAAATATTTATTAAGCACATGCTATATGCCTGACTCTAAGCTAGGCACTTGCTGGGCATATAGTGTTGAGCAAAACAGGTATGCTCCCTGTCCTCATGTAGCTTCCATGGACATGGACATTAAATAAATAACTATAGAATTCATCCATCAGAATTATAGTAGCAGCATTATTTTCCTAATACCCCAGGTTCAAAATCTCAGACTCAGCTTTGTTTCTCCTTCAACATGTAAACCAATTAATAAGTCTTTAAGTCTTCTTTCACCATGTCTTAAAAATCTATCACTTCTTTTCCATTCCTATTGCCACCAATTTTATGTGGGCCTTTGTTACTTTGGTCTAAACTATGGTCTCCTAACTAGCCTTCTTGTTGCCCATTTACTCCACATTCCTATTAGAACCATCTTCAAGTATTACTCCATGCCACGAATGGGAAAAAAGTCTTCAGGGGCTGCCTAACACCTATTGTGTAACTTCTGATCGCTTTCTTCCCCTTGCACATGCCCTGTTTTTGTCTGGTTCCTTAACTCCGCTCCTACCAATCCAACTGCCTGGAACATGCTTCCCCGTCTCCAAGGAAAATATGCTTATTCTTCACACTCCAGCTCCTTAAAACACCTAATAATCCCACCTAGAAATAATTGCTTACTCTAAACTCTTCAGGCATCGTGGCCATCACTCATTCACCACACGACACCTGTGTGTGGTTAATTTGTGTTTCATATGGCTCCTACTGGATTTTAAGATCCCTAATGGCAAAGAAGATCTCCTAACAATCTTTCCATCCCCCGTGAATCGCACAGTGCCAGGCACTCTGCAGAATGACTGACTGGTGTCTCCTCAGGCCTGTATGAAAAAGGTGATTTCCATTAATTCTTTGGCCAGGTCCCAAGCAGCTCTTACTGCCCTCTGGTTTTCACGCTGAGTGCTCCATTTTGGACCTGCCGCAAAAGCTCCAAAGGCAACAAGAACAAGGGCCAAGAACAAAATCAAGAGGGCTTGGCAAAGAAGAAATACGCATCCAGCGAGTGCTAAACTGTTGATGCAGTAAAGGCCCCAGGCGTGGCGGGCACTGACCTGCTCCAGCAGATAGATGAGCTGGTCTCGTGCCAGTCTCTTGAGCATGGAGAAGTCAGGCAGCTCAGGGGCGTCCGGCCGATGGGTAAAAGCCATGGCAGCGGTCGCCTGGGCTGCGGGGTGGAGACGGCGGACGCCCTCTGCTCTGAGAAGGCCGGCAGGAGCCCAGGGTAAGCGCAGGGAGACAGTCCTTCAGGTCTAGGCACGGGCTCCCAAGGAATCCTCGGAGAGGTCTTCGTTCTTCAGCCGCGAGCGAGAAATGAATGGCCACCTCCTGGTCAGAGAGTCACAGTGTCGGGGGACCCTCGTCTCAGAATTGTAGCCACTGTGCCCAGACTTGTCCTTTCCTGGCCCACCCCGCCAGCCAGCAGGATTCTGGTCTACACCTGCACAGACGTCACCGCACGAGGGGAGAATAACACAGCCCGCTGTCAGAGACAGAAAGGGCTTCCGAAAACTCCCGGAAGTTCAGGTCGCTGGACCGGCACATAACAGACCCGGAAGGGGACGGCGTCCTGGAAGGGACAATTGAAAATGGGCGGCAACGTATCAAATTTCCAGTCTCATTTCTGGCCAAAAAGGAGTTTTCCTATGATAAAATCAGTATGCCTTAAACTAGTGTTTAATGATACATCTGATTCTCCTAGATCACTCAAGCGAGGGTTGAGCACTTGCTCAATTTTCAAGAACGTCGGAAAATGGACGAAACCAAGTCGGAGTCTGGCGGGGACCTTGTCTGCCAATCAAATCTACTCCACAAATTAGCCACGAGCTAGGTGTTCCCTGGTTTCGGAGGCGGGAACTGAGCGGCAGAAGGTGAGATGTGTGAAGATGAAGGTGGGTGGGGCAGGGGAGCGCGTTAGGAGCCAATAGGAGCTGGATCCGGCCGGTCGTGACCTTCGGATCCTGGAGTTTTGGCTCATTAACGCACTTCGTGGGAAAATGAATAAACTGGCATATTCATACAATAAAAATAACTGAATGAGTAAAATAAGCCAGATACAAGGGTACATACTGTATTATGGCATTTATATAACGTTCCATAACAGAAAAAACTAATCTGTCGTGAAAAAAAATCAGAAAAGCCTTTGGGGATAGGAATTGACTGGGCAGAGAGATAAGAGAACTTTCTGGGTGTGATGGCAATGATCTGTATCTGCCTTGTTTTTTTTTTAAAAAAAAGCTTATGAGAGGCATAATGGACAGATCAGGCTAATAATACCTGAACTCACTGATTAACTTAACATCATATCCTCTGGTGGGATGCATAAGAAATACAGAGCATCGCCGTTGCCAAAAACGACCTGATCAAGCCTCAAGATCTATCAGTTTATAGAAATATAGAGGATAGATAGAAGGAACACATTAAAAGACTTCACAGGGATGAAATTAGCCAAATCCAAAATGCAGGAAATTATTTGTCTCCTTAAAGAAATAAATGGCAAGGAGAAAAAAATGGGATGGGAAGCCACTTTAGAATAAAAGAAACTTAGGGATATGTCAACAAACTGCAGTATGTGGACCTTGCTTGGATCCTAAGTCAAAGAAATCAACTGGAAAAGTCCTTTATAAAAGAACTAGATAAAACTATCAGGATAATAGCTGATATTAAGAAATTACTAAAAAAAAATTAAGGTATAATAATAGCTTGTATGTCTGTAAAAAAGGAGTCAACTCAAGATACATATTGAAGCACTTATAAATAATGTGATGTCTAGGGTTTGCTTTAAAACATCCCAGGTCAGGAGATGAGGAGCAAGAATGGGGGATAATAGATGGGAAAAAAAAAGGTCATTTGTTAATTGTTAAAACTTGGTGATGGGTACCCAGAGATTTGTTGCTATTATCATACTTCTACCTTTGTATGTTTGAAAGGTTCTATAACACCAGGTTAAGCAACAAAAAGCTTTCTGTGCCCGTCACTGGGCTTCAAGAGCTCATCTAATATTTTATGCTGAGCCTCCCCCATAGCCCCCTCACGCCTTTAATTAGATCAAATCTGAGTTGGAGCCTGTCCTGAGATGGGTGGATTTCCTGTCCCTTAAAGCAGATGAGTGAAGCATATACCCTCCGGGGCTCAGGGACTTAAGTCCCTTCACTTGCAGCTTGCCAGCTTCTTGATCTTTGCTCTAATGCTGCTGTGAGCTGCCCATTCCACCTGCAGCCACTTCTCCACAGCTTGGGCAGAGCCTTGTTATCTGTTACCTCCTCCACCACACGCTTCACCCGTACCCCAAAGTGAAGCTCCACCTCATCCGGTGTGGTGTCGATGTCCTCCATCGTGTCATGAAACAGGACTGCCTGCGGACAGGGGCCTATGGAGTTTTGTGACCCCAGCCCAGTGGAACACAGAGCTGGATGAGGTTCCCATCCCACATTCCAGCTTCCCAGCCAGGGCTGGGGAGCAGTTACCATAGCACTGCAGTGTCAGTGGGTTAAGGTCCGAGACACACAGACAGGATAAAGCAGAAACGCGTCAGCCTGGAGGAGGCTTAGGGGCCTTGCTTGTTGGCTGAGGTCTGGATGGGCAGGCTGGGAAGGTGAGAGGCACGATTTTCCACTCTAAGACAGGCTGGTTGGAGCGAGGTTCTCCAACCATTTCTTCATTCATTCAACCAATATTGAGGTGTTAGGAGCTGGGACTACAGCAATGAACAGACAGGTCTCCTGCTCTCATGGGGTCTACTATGGAGGCAAGGTGGGTGATGAGACACAATGCAGTAACAATTCCAGGCACTTGAATTAAACAAGGTGTGGTGATGGTGAAAACATGAAGGGAGCTCTTTTAGACTGGGTGAACAGGAAGGTCTTTCTAAGAAAGTGACATTTGACCTGAGACCTGATGGATGAGGAGCCAGCCATGTGAAAATATGGAGACAAAGAACCAGTAAGAACAAATGCCTTTGACTGGCACATTAAAAATGGAAAGAAGGTTCAAGCTTAGTAAGCAGGAGGGTGTAGGGAATGATGTACATGGAAAGCACATTCAAGTTTCTAAGGACAGCTTGTTTCCCTACCCCACTGGTGAAAGGTCGTGGTCAGATGACTTGCATGAGTTAGAATTGCAAACTTAAAATAGTCAAACAGCATCTTACACCTCTTAAAAAGTCCTAATGGCAAATGACTATAAATATTTTTTTAAAAAATCATAAAAATATTGATAAGCTTTGAATATAAACTATATAATAGAAGGGCAGTGAGAGCAAGGGTCATATGTCTTATTCCTCCACTGCCATTATCACCAGCATCTAGATTCTAGAATTTTGGTTGGCATGCCATCAGGCCTTGTCATTCATACTGAATGAATGCTCAAGTTAACAGTAACTGTAACTGCTATTAATGACATATGAAATAGCAAAGAGTATTAATAGAGGGGCAATGACAAGGTTGGAATGTCTTGTTTTCATTAATTTTAACATCCTACGTGTATTTAAATTCTGAGTATCTAATTTTTGCTGGTAAGTTGTTAAAATGAGACATGGTTGAAAACTGTCATTGGATTATGTTGCTTGCATATGTCCCATTCTATTTATAATAAAGGATCTCTAAAGACTCAGTAAATTTAGAAATTATGCTGGGTAGTCTTAAGATTCCAGGAATTTTAGAAGCCTTAGATAAGATCAGACCTAGATTCAAGTCCTAGCCATCCTATAGTTCCATTAGCAGCCACATGGCCTTGGGAATATCCAAAAATCTTTGAACCTTTTTCATGATTTATAAAAGAGGCTTATTATCTATTCTTGCCTACCTTGCAGCATCCTTGTAGTAATCTGGTGAAAACTGTAAAATCAGACACAATTTAAGTCTTAGAAAGTGGCTGGAGATTATGTTGTGAGCCCTAAAGCCTTTCCCTGCTTTGAATTTTTTGTCAACCCCCCACTCCCCAATCTCTTCCAGAGCCCCAGCAACTAAAAGGAAGATGTCCAATTTTTGGTCGGCAAAATCCATCACTGAGCAGGGTGATCTGCACAGAGTACTCTGTTGCGGATTCCTCTGGTCATTCTCTCAATAGATGTTTAATGACAAGGAATCCTTCCCTTCTCTCAGTCTCCAGGTTCACAGTTAAACCCTCCTACCCCAGACGGCACCAAGCAAGACTGCTGCATTTTAGTTTATTTTGCACATAAGGAAAACAACCAACTGACTAAGCAGTTCCAGAACTGCTAGTATTCATTAACCAAGAAGGAAGTGAGGTCAGAAAGCAAACTTTCCGTTTCCTCCTGAACACATATTGCAAGTATCACAGAAACAACAACACATGCAACATGGGCTGCTCTTCAACACACAGAGAGCCTGAGCAAGAAGGGTGAGTAGTGATGATACACAGCAGTCAGACCTGAAGCAGTGCTCCAGGAAGTTTGAATTTATTGAGCCTGACGCTCACCCTGGCCCTTTACATACCGGCCCTGAAGTTCACTGCCCTTTGTTTAGATTTAAATCCAAGCAGCTCTTCCCGCTCATATTCCAGGCCCATCACCTCTTTCTGTTCTAAGGCAGCTAATCCATAAGCAGAAATCTAGCCAGTTCCAAATACACTTGCCCAGCTGTTTCACATCTCCACAAGGTTGACCCCAACTCAAATTCTATATAGGAAGTTCCCGTTGCTGTCAAAGAACTCCCGCCCCCTCTGCACTACTTTGCTGCTGAAGTTCAAGTTCTGGTCACTTGGTTCCCTTGTCTTCAACTCCTCCAGCTTCTCACCATTTGGCAATCCATCACTGACAGTTCCTCCAGTGCTCTCACAATCACTGGCGTAGTTCTTCTGCAACTCCTTCTGATGACCCAGGGCTGCAGCTACAGGCACAAAGCTCTCCTTTATTCTTTCCAGGCTCTGAATTCCTTCACTCCTTCCCTTCTGTTTCCTTGGTGTATGTGTACTATGACTGTTCAACTCTATCACTTCCAAAGCTGTGCTGCGACTCTGGCCTTTGGATGAGGCTTCACCCTCCGGCATCAGCAAAGAGCCTGATACAGAGTGGCCTGCAGAGAGTGGCTTCGTGATACTCCCAGAAGCCTGAGTCTGCCAGAACGAGTGGGCAAACCCAGCTTTCTTAAGAACTTTTTGATCCTGCTTCAGTTTCTGCTCCAATGTGGGTACAAACTTGCTTTTTAAAACCCTTCGGATCACATCAGTGCTGACATCAAAGCCTTCAGCGAGTCTGGGAACTGACCAGGACTCTGCAAATTCCTTATGTAAATACCTATGAGAAAAGAAGCAGGTTGTCAAATTGTGAAGAAGTCTTCTATCAGAACAGCTAACTAATAATACAACTGATAAATAAGCAAAAAGATAGGGGCTCGGAAAAACTGCCATCACAGTCCTCATTTTGTGCAAGCTAAATGGTTGTGTTCCATTTGTGTGTGCCAACAGCAACACCTGACCACTCTCTGCCAGGTCACTTTATTCCACATCAACTGAATTCCTTCCACTGGTCCCTCATTAAATCCCAAGGATGGTGATGACTGTCCTTTCCTTCAAAGAGCACAAAATTTGGTAGTGGAGACAGATATATTAAGATATGATGACACTGTGGTTTAAGTGTTACAGCAGAGAATGCTGTGAGAACACCCAGAAGGGAGACCCAGAAACAGGCAATCACAGCACTTTTGGCCTGGCCCTGGAACTGCTTCATCAAGTCCAAGCTAGAGCTGGTCTGGAAGGACGAAAAGGAGTAATAAGCTGGCAGAAGGGAGGAGAGAAAAAGAGTAGTGATGGTAGAGGGAGCAAAATGTGAAATGCAAAGAAGCACATCACCTTTGTTGAGAGTAGCCCAATTTGTCTGATGATGAGGGTAGGACCAAGACTATGTCATGCTTAGGAATCTGGAGTTTATCCCAAGGCTACAGGGACCCAAAGAAGGATTTTAAGCAGTGGAATGCTAAGAGCAAATTTCCATTTTGAAGCTAGATCTAGAGGCAGATTATCAGTGGCAAGAATGGAGATGGACAGATCAGGCAAGAAGTTGTTACAGTCAGCCAGGGAGTCTGAACTGAGGCACTGCCAGTGAGGGCAGAGGAGGGAAGAGGGTTGAGAAATACTTTAGGAAGGCCAAATGGTAGAACTTGGTAAAGAGCTAAATACTGGGAGACGAAGCGTTAAGGCTGATTATTCAGGATTTTAGCTTGAGGCCTCTGGGACCACTTAGGGTTATATGGAAAATAGAAGCAGAATTAAGTTGTTGAACAATGATGAATTCTATTTTGTACGTGTTGAGTCTGAGGAACCTGTGTTACATGCAAAAAGAGATGTCTAGTGCACAGCTGAATATATGGATCTAAAGTTCAGAGGAAAAACATGGATTGGTGATGACAGATTTGGAAGTCCTAAACCAAAAGGAGTGTAGCTGAAGCCATGCTGAGTAGCTGGATTGGGCAGGAAAGTATCCAGATACAGGAGGAAGGAGGAGAGTCCGGGAAGAAGACTCAGAAAAGAAGCCCTAGAAACAGAAGGAAAATCAAAAAAGAATGGTACTCTGAAGTCAAAAAAGAAGAGAATTTCAAGAAAGTGGTCTATAACGTCAAATGCTGCAGAAATGTTGAGGATAAAGATGAGAGTGTTAGTTGAGTCTAGCACTAAGGAAGTAACTTGTGGAGAGCAGCTTTATTGTAATGAGAGAAAAAAAAACAAGAGGCAGCCAGGGAGCCAGCAGGTAACAAAAGGTTGAGGGAGGGCCTTAAGTTGACAGATGTGGGTCTCTGAGAAGTAGATGGGGATATGACTTAGAACACACAGGGGATTGGTTCTAGACAAGTGAAGGGCTGCCACTTCCTCTGAGATGTGAGTATACAAACTGGTACAGGTTAAGTCTGAGAATAGGAGGGGAGGAAGAAGACCAGGAAGGTAAAAGGGTTCTTATCTAATGGCCTGTTTTTCTTTGAAGTAAAGGAACATTTATTGACCACGAAAGGGGAAGTGGGGGTGACACGTATGAAGTTGGAAGGTTTGAAACAGCTGTTGAAGACAGGAGAGGGAGATGACTCGGGGTGTACAAGAGTTGTTACAGGCTCACAAAATCTTCTTGGCCGGCTCTTTATTCTAAGTCTCAATTCCAGAGTCATTCTAACGAGAATGTAAAATGGCATATAACCTATGGAAGGCTATTTTAGCAATATTTATCAAAATGAAAAATCTATTTGCCCTCTGATCCGGAAACCCTACTTCTGGGAATATACACAACAAATAAACCTGGCAGATAGGCAGAACAACGCACGTACAAAGTTACTTACTGGAGCACTATTTGTAATAGCAAAAGAGTGGAGATGACCCAAGTATCCATCATAGAAGACTGGTTAAATAAACTATGGTTACTATGCATCTATAAAAAAAGAGAAGGCGCTCTCTCTTCTGAAATGTAAAGATCTACAGGATATATTAAATAAAAAAAAAACAGGTATAGAACAGTACTTATAGTATGTTACAGTTTGTGACTAAGGAGATGAAAATAAAAACCCTATATTCATACTTGCTTGTATTTGCGTAAGGAAACCTGGAAGAAGACGCAAAAAACTATTAAAAATAGTAACCATAGGAAACTGAGTGGGAGTAATATTTCTCAATGTGTATGCCATGTTTTATTGTCTTGCTTTTGAGCCATATGTATTACCTATTCAAAACAAAAAACTTACAATTTAAAAAATTATTCCTTTAAGGTTTTCTAAGTTACAGATTCCCTCTTCAGAAAAATGCATGGATCTTAGGTTAAGAACGTTATGATCTATTTAGAGGTTAAATGTTGAGATGACTGTAATTTACTATTTAAAACTGAAGTGGAAAGAAAAAAATATATATATACATATATATATAAATTTCAGCAAAAATGAACCAAATGTGTCAAACTGTTAGAAACCGTTAAATGTAAATGACAGATTTATGGAGGTTCGTTATATTATTCCACTTTTCTGTTAGAAATTTTCCACGACAAAAAGTAAAAGAAAATATAAAAGCAAAACCTTTCCAGATCCCCGTATGCTTCACTTCCCATCACAGCAGATCCTAACAGGATACCTTGGGTCTTACCGGATTTGCTCCATGGCTTCCCGCGTCAGGGTCCTGGGTGGGGCACCTGGCGCCTCCATCTGCCTCCGCATTTTCTGGAACCGGACTGCTTTTTTCTGTCGTTTCAGGGCACTGAGGGAGAGAATTAAGAGCAGAGGCCACGCGTGGAAGCAAGATAGGTGGTTGGAGGGCCTCAGGCTAAATCACGAAACGGCCAGCCCTTTTCTCTTTGTAAGCAAGGGCAACCGGGCCATGTCTGCCGGCTTTGACCTGTTCAGTATAAAGCCCCAGAAATCTAACACCTAGAACAATAACGGCCCTGGAAGTATGCCGAACTCTTAAACGGGTGATGAAATACGTCACTAGTAAAGGAACATGGTGGTTCCACGGTAGCTGACCACCTGCCGCGGCGCCCCAAACAAGTGAGAAGAAACAAGGGTCTCTGCGGATGCGGCGGCAGGGCGCCCGGCGCAAACGGGGCGAGGCCTGGAGCGCCGGGGGTGAGGCCCTGCTTCAGGCTGAGGGCCCGGGAGGGAGCCGGTACCTCTCCACCTCCTGCAGCTCTCGCTCCTCCGGCTCCCAGTCGGAATCAGGATCCGGCTCGCGGCCGACAGGGCCCGGGCCTGCCACCCCCCGGATCGCGAACCCACAGCAAGCAACAGTAGCGCGGACACGGCCGCCCAGAAAGAAGCTAAGAGCAACCGCCATGATGACGAAATCAACCCCTCAGGAGCTAACCGCAGCAGCACCGGAAGTGAGAAGCGCGACCGGAAGTAGGTGGGGCGTGGCGCGCTCCTCCCCCCCCCGCCCCTTTCATGGAGAGGGCAGGGATACGTGGGCTTGAACGGTTCAGTGGGCCAGCATTCCCGGTGGTTGACTGTAGAGAAGACTTCGCTGAAACACAAGGGCCAGAATGAAGTACGGACGAGCCTGGAAAACGGCATAGAACTTTAATAAAAAGACGGGTTCAATTGCTAAGAGCTGCCCCCTCCCCAGGCCGGCCTGTCTGCCTCCGCCACAGGAGCTGGCAGGGGCCTACCCTCGGCGGTCTCCTCCTGACGGCGTCAGCCTCGTCCTTTGGGCACCCGGCTCCTCTGGAAGAGAGGCTTCTTGTGGGCCGGGATGACCTCCAGCCCCAGGCCGCACCCAGGGTTCGGCCCATCACCTAGCGATAAACCCGGGCTAAGTCTTGAAGGCCTGGGATGAGTAGATGCCCGGCCCTGGCTCCTCTTCATCTTTTAGTCTTTACTGATCCCAAAATAATCTTAGGGTGTAGAGAGAGTCTTGGCATCTTTGTGTTTTGCCTTATGTAAACAGGGTTCCCGGCCAGGGCTTTTCAAACTGGAGGTTGACAGACTTTCATGTAGCAAAGGTCCTTTGCCCCTTTGGAAACCTGAGTAGGTTCTCCAGGAGCCGTTGAGTCCTGGGCTTGCTTCCTGCTTTTTACCTGTGGTGGCTGATGTTGAGGAGTGCACTGGAACGCTGAAGCAGGGGTGCAGAGGCAGGGCAGAAGGTGAGCTCTCGGGCCTTGACTGCTCTGTGCGCAGAGTCTACCATGGAGGGCAAGGTGCAGCCAGTCCATGAGTCACTTGCCACTCTTCCCGGGTGCAGAAGATAGCCCTGCTTTGGGGTTAAAGAGGGTGGCACTGATCCTGCCAGGGCGCGGTTTATGGCTTCTAGCCTTCTGCTGGCTTGTCCTTCTGCAGTGGAAACATGGGTCCCCCTGAGTTGGTATTCACAGAAGAGGTTTGCCTCACCTCTTCCCCATTTGTGGCCCAACACAGAGGAATGGCATCTCATGCTACCCTGTAGCGTCTTTACCACTCTGTATTGCAATTGGTGGGTTTACTTGTCCATTTCCCTGTTAACATTTGTTGAGTGCTGGGATTGTATTTCTGCCATTTCTATCTAGTAGGAAGTAAATAAATGGTTTCACAACCTTCCCTATTCCCACACTCCTGGAAGGGCTATATTATATTTTGGGAGCATCCTAGCTGCAATATTAGCTAGTGAGGATTTACACAAGTGAAAGTGACTAGAGCTAGTTTCGTATACTTACGGCTAGTGAGCCCGACTCTAGCGCTGGAAAAATAGCGCCTCCCAGATTTCTTCATTAACAGTGAACAGGGCCCTTTAGCTGCTGGATCTCCTATCCAGTTGAAGTTCCTGGGCTGTAGATGGCACTGGGAATGATGTGGAATTGCAGCATTCATGCTTGGCAGTGGCCCTAAGATCCTGGGGATCAATTCGTGGGGCCGAACTGGATGCAGGAAATGAGGAAGGCCCTGCTCTGTGGTGGCCCCTCGCAAGAGCACCAATGGGACCAGACTCACAGATTGCAATTCTTGACTGCCCAGCCTGTCCTGGTGAAATCTAGGCTAGAGGAAAAGAGCAGTCCCTTACCACATTTCTTGTGAGGTTGGACGGAAGTTGGAAGAAATAGGTAACTAAAAAAAAATGTCTTCTAGGCTATAGTCACTATTTAACCAGTTATTCCTTTGGGGCTAAACAAGAACAAAGAACCCAGATGGATTTGCTACTAGCCCAGGGAATAGTGAATGCAGCAGCTGTTTTGTTGGCCCAAGATTGTTTACTTATCTCCCATTGGAACCAGGGCACTGGCAGTGCTAGGGAGAGAATTACACAGAAGCCACTGAGGAGGGTGGTGGCCTTGTTATTTGTCAGTCATGAGTTTTGGGTTATTGTGAGACAGGAATATGCAGAGCAAATCTCTTGTAAGTGAGAAGGTTGGGAGCTGCATTTTGCTGGATGTCATTACCAAAAACAAGGGAGCTTGGGAGCAGATGCAAAAAAACCCAACAGACCCTCTTCCCAAGGCCCAGCATACATTGCTTTCCCAGGTTCCACTGCCAGATACCATCACATTAGCCTCCTGTAATGTGACCACCACCATGTGCCAGTACCACAGCCCTTGTTCCCTTGTTCTGCAGGAGGCTGTGTAGGGACCCTCACCCGATACTCATGAAGTTTTTTCTGGCCCCGATGGCTGGGATGCAGCATGCGGTTGAGCTGCTCTACAATACCCAGGCTTCGAATGAGATTCTCCCTTTGTAGCAGGGCCTTCATCCGCTCCAGCTCCTCCTCTTCCACAATTTCCTGCGGCTGCATAGTGTCCAGGTGTACTGGTGGCTGCTACAAGGAACATGAGAGATAAATGCAGGATCTCCAAGGATGAGTCCTAAATCATCAGCAAGGATGGCTACAGGACCCCTGCCCACTCTACCTCTGGCCCTTCCCTGACTTTAGTGTACTGTTCCCACATCCCTCATCTACTGCTACTCTTGACCCTTTGTTATCCATTCTTTCATCTCCTGTTCCAAAAGGTCAGATTCAATTTATTGATTGTGAGCTCATCTCTCTCTTTGTGCAAGGGGAGGAGGGGACAGCAGATTCCCTTCTCTGGTAGTGCCAACCCATCTTCCTGTAAAAAAAACAAGAGCCACAAAACCCCTGACACCTCTTTCTCCTGGATCCGGTTCCTGAAAACCAAGTGGGTGGAAAGGCCTCGGGGCCCTGCCCTGGATCGGCTCTTCTCTCCTGCTGATTCCCCCTGGTTCTGGTCCTTGTTTTCCTTTCTCTTCTTATTGCTTGAGGTCTCCTGCTGTTCCTGCTTGAGGCGGATCTCTTCCAGTTGCTGCCTGGCAAGACACAGGAGCTTTAGATACTGGAGAAATTGTTTTGGAGAGAAGGGGATGAGAAAAAAGGGGAAAGAGGAAATTATGATCTGTTTTTGGGACCAATGGAAGAGGAATAAGGGGAAGATGGGAAACCTGCTAAACTGGAAGAGTCATTAGGAGTCTCATAGGATGTGTAGTTCCACTCCTCATTCTTCAAGTGTCTGGCTCTGGCTCTGCCCCCACCCAAGTGTACGGAGAGGAGGATGCAGGGATTACAGGCCTGTGTCCTTGGGCAAAGTACCTGGCACACTCCTCTCTGGCCTTGGAAGCAGCAGTCTCCTGGAAGAGGGAGCCGTTGTGCTTGAAGAAGGGTGCATACTTCTCCGTGTCAGGCCCAGGGTAGATCCGCCGGTATCCCCCCAGGTGGGAATCCTCATATCGTTCCTGGTCCAGCATTGCTGCATGGGAGGACTGAATTTGTTCTCGCCTGTGAAAACCAAGCTCAGGGTGAGTCAGAAAAGGACAATGAGAATGTTCAATAAGGAAAGGCACACTGGCTAACGCTTTTGAGAACCTCCTGATAGCTTTATGGCCTTCTGGGCCCCTGCCTGCCCATGTGGTGAAAGCTGCCAAGCCCATCTTTGGCCAGCCTCACCTGTGTACAGTTATGAAAATAGGTTCAACTTCCAAAAATCTGCTTTTCATCTTTAATGCAGAGGAGTCCACTCATAAGCTAGCACTCGAATTATCACAATCTTTTAGGTTTCTGTTATAGGAGTAATACATATTCATTGCAGAATATTTAGAGGAGCATAAAGAAAGAAAAAACCTCCCATAATCTTACTATGCAATTAGCATATTGGTTATGATTATGGCCTCTAGGGCAGGATCTCCCAAGTGTGAGTCCTGGTCTTGCCACTCAGTACCTCATTCTTTTTTTCTCCCCAGCCTTTTCATAATGAAAATGTAATCATATAACGACATTTTAAAATGACTACCTAGTATTTTAGTGTATGATTATAGTTTTATTTAGTCCAGTTTTCAACCTTTTTTCCCCCATTGAAAGGCATTATTAATGACACCGACGTGCACAGCCCTATGTCGTGGAAATACGCAGGGCATTTCTTGTTATACTTCACCCCCATTCATTCCACAAACATTTGAGTGCTGACTGTGTGCTAGGCCTGAAGGATATATCATGGCGAATCAAATACACTCTGTCCCTGCATACTGGCATGCAAGTAGGGGAGAATGATGTTGTTACAGGAATAAGCCTAAATCTACTCCAGTTCATTTTTATGCATCATTAACAAGTTATAATTTTAGTATTGGCAACAAACTACGATGTTTGGAACCCATCTCACAATTAAAACAATGGGTGATCAGCACTGATTTAAACAATCCCCTATTTTTGAACAACTAAACTGTTTCCTTTGTTTCAGTGTTAAATAAGCTTTCTCAGAAACCAGTTTGTAGAAGAGCTTTGTTATAAAAACAAAAACAAGCTAATCAAACTACATAAAGTTCTTTATGTGCTAATATGAAAATAGTTCTAAAATATATTGCTAAGCAGAGTACAGAAGAGTATGCAAGTTATGCTATTGTCTGGGTAGCCAACGGGAGAAAAATAATTTTTATGAATGTGTGTGTGTGCATTAAATATTTCTGAAAATATACGCATGACTCTAGGAACAATGATTGGCTTCAGGGAGGAAAACTGTAGCTGGAGGAAAGGGGTGGGAAAGAGACTATTCACTGTATCTTTTGAATTTTGATATAATCTATGCAAAAAAAAATTTTTTAATAGCTAATCAGTCCCAGTCCTTGTCTTCCATCTAGAGCAGGACTCCTCCTCTCAGAAGTGAAAGAAGACAGAGTTACACAACTAAACACATGTCAGACACCTGAAGCACCTGGCTTCTCGTGGCTGTTGGTGGTACTGGAAAAGCCGCTCCTTGACTCGCCGCTTGTCTTCCTCTAGCACCTTCCTTTTGTCACAGCCCCGGAGGTTGACAAGGGTCATGGCATCACAGAGAAGCGCATCCTTCACTTCTCGATCAAGACGTGAGTCCGTGGTGAAGCTTGGAGAGTGGTTTACCTGCCAGGAGGAGTCATTACCCGCCCCCTTCCTAGGCCACCTGATCCGGTGGTAGTCTCTTGCAGGCTTAATTGGAGGGTCTGGGAGAGACATCCTCTTCTAATGGCCTCAGCCAAGGAGACCGGATGCTCTGGTTTCCAAGGCCATAGAACTCTGCCATAGAGATCCCACCAGTTCACAGGCTGGTGAGAGAAAATCAGACAGCCTGACTCTACAGATACAGTGTCCTTAAAGGCAAGGCTTACACTGGGAAAATGTAGAATTAAAAATTGGATCCCTTGGTAGAGGCCAGAGACTACCAAGATTTGACTCAGCAGGTCAAGTGTAGAGGTCCTATGCCTTCTGCTGGTGAACCACCAAGTGTTCCCACCCACCCCAGGGCTGCTACTCTACCACCTGAGTGCACTCCTATCCCAAGTGTCCTGTTCAGGGAGGCCTCTGAACCTGGTTTTGCAAAGCCTAGGAGATAATCCTCACCTCCAGCAGCCAGGGCTTCAGCTTGTGGTCCAGCAAGATGTCAAAACCAAGGATCTCAAAACAGGCACATGTACCTCCACTCAGATATTGGGGAAAACAGGTTCGGTAGTTGTGGCGAAGAACGGAATGGGCTGAGATGATGGTTTTGATGATGATGTCTTCAATGTCCTTCCACAGCTCTCGGGGGTCGTAGCTATGCTCTCGCAGCCAGACATTGAGTGTTGACAGCTTCCTGTGAGGCCCAGTGCTCAGAGGAAGGCCAGTTTCTATGCCAGTGGAACCTGGCTAAAGCAGGGGGCTCCCTAATACTACCCTGAATCCCGTGCCCAGGACCTTGTGCTTTAAAGGGCTGTGGTGTAGTGGATAAGAGCTCATCTGCTAACTAAAAGGTCGGCAGTTCGAATCTACCAGCCACTCCTTGGAAACCCTGTGGGGGCAGTTCTCCTCTGTCCTATAGGGTCACTATGAGTTGGAATCGACTTGATGGCAATGGGTAGCAGCTTGGAGGAGTCCCTGGGTGGTGCAAATGGTTAAGCACTCGACTACTAGCTGAAAGATTGGCAGTTCGAATCTACCCAGAGACGCCTTGGAAGACAGGCTGGCCATCTGCTTCCAAAAGGCCACAGCCTTGAAAACCTTATGGAGCAAGTTCTACTCTGCATACACGGGGTTGCCATGAGTTGGAATTGACTGGATGGCAACTAACACAACAAAGCAGCTTGGAGCAGGGCTTAGTTATCAGGGTGAGATTTGGGGCTGAACTTGGGGGACAGGCATGGGACAAGGGTCTGTAAACGCTGAGTTTTCTGGGCAATCAGCTTCCCAAGAGACAGCTCAGTTTCATGGGCTGCTGAGACTATGGGCTCAGGGGCAGAGAAAGCAAGAGAAAATAGTAGGGAGTACCTCTTACTGCCCACAGCATCATCCCGGACAAAATTCTCATTGTGTTTGTTGATAGCATAGTTGGTCAGGTGCATGCAAACATCATCCTGTGAAGAGAGTGGCCCTATGCTCTCAGACTGCTTCTCTGCAGCACTCTTGTCCAGCCCTTTGTGCCTCTGTATTGCCCATCCCTCACCAGGATTGCTTCTCTCCTGTCCCTCTAGGCTTTGGAACAACTTTCAGACTTCATCCGAGGACTGTCCTCTAAGCTCTTGGGAAAGAGGGTGTGCTGGGCTCCTCCAGGTGATGACCTTTCCTCAGTCACCACCCACCAAATGCTCTCTTTCCAGCCAGATGCGGAAGCTCTCACTGGCTTCATTCCTTGTTCATGCGTGACAATGACAAGCCCCTCTTCTTGGTTTCTCCATAGAACCTTTCTACATAGAACCTGGCCCCCTTACCAGGTTGTTAATGCTGGGCTCCACATAGGGCATGGTGGCAAAGCGGGCCAGGCCCTCCTCATACATGAAGATCCGAAGAGGGTCACAGGACGTGATCAGGACGTAGATTCGCATGTCAAACTTGAAACCATCAATGAGGAGCGGCTGAGAGCACGCAAACCCATAAGGAAGAACAACAACACACTTGAAGTGCTTACTATGTACCACACACAGTTTCAAGTGCTACGAATACATAATAACTCATTTCATTTTCAAATTAACCATATGAAGTAGTTACTATTATTATTCCCATTTAACAAATGAGGAAACTCAGGCACAGAAAGAATAAGAAAATTGCACAGGGTCACATATCTAGGAAGTAAAAAAGCTAAGGTTCAAACCCAGGGAGGCTGGCTCTGAACCATGGCTCCATTCTGCCTCCAAGATACCAGGGATAACAAAGGGTAGGAACCTAAAACCAGCTCCCCACTGGCTTTGGGAGAGGCAAGGCACCCCAGTGCCGGGGGTAGGGGGACCTGGCGGTCCTGAGGCCCCCTTCACCTTAGAGATGTATTGCTGACAGATCATATGCTCTCCTGGCTTGATCTCCCGGGGATTTCGGGTGATGAAGATGCCCCGTCCCTGACAGCCACTGTCCGGCTTGCAGATATAAGTGCGGTTTTTCCGCTGACGACCATAAGACTGGAAGTCCCCGTAGCTATGTGCAGAGAGGGGCTGGTCAAAAGGTTTCTGTGCACCATGGCTATCCCTGGGCCCCGTGGAGTTCTTCCTGCTATCCCATGCTCTTCGTGGAGCACGTGAACTCAGACCCACTTTTCTCTGACCAGCTGAAGCTCTCTCATTCCACTTCCATCCCTCTGAGACATTCCTAGGTCACAAGGCCAGGGTCCGGAGGGAACGCAGACGGCGAGCCCTTTCCTCCCCCAGTATCTCAGCATGTGAAGCCAGGCTCACTCACTCTGCGGGGAGGCACCAGGTGCGCGGGAAGATGTTGTATTCAGTAGGATAGAGCTTCTGCATGCGGTTGAGGTTCCGAGCCAGCAGATCTTTGCGGCAGATTTCTGTCATGCCAGGGAAGTGGTTGATTTTCTGAAACAGAGTCAGTGGTTATACTACCCCCAGAGTAAATGACAGTTCCTGGGAGCTGGGCATCCCAAGAAGCAGTGAGGAGGATTGAGGGTAAGGTAGAAATCACAGTGGACGTAAGCACTCTACCTATCACTACCCAAGGGTGAAAACAAGATTCCCTAAGGCAGGTGAGAAGGACTTCCTTGACCACTGCCCAACACACACCCACACTGGGTTAGGAAATGAAGGGCAGCAAGAAAGGGTGTACGCTAGCCGGGACTTTGGGCTTTCTTACCACTTTGTATCATCCTTCAGACCACCAGAGAGTCCCTGGGTGGTACAAACAGTTAAGCACTCGACTACTAGCTGAAAGATTGCCGGTTCAAACCCACCCAGAGGTGTCTCAGAAGACATGCCTGGCAATCTGCTTCCAAGAGGTCAGCCTTGAAAACCCTATGGAGCAGTTTTACTCTGCACACACGGGGTCACCGTGAGCTGGAATTCACTCCATGGCAAGTAACAACAGACTATCAGAGACTAGTCCTATAAGGACAATCGGTGTATGATAGCACAAAGCAAATAATACAAAGAACATTTCCCAAAGGATACAAAAGAGAAAAGGAAACTCAGAATCAGTCCTAGGGAATGCACCGCTGGGCTCCCCACAGGGCATGGCTTTCTGTGGTGGTCTGGAAATCCCTGGCTACTCGGTGCTGCCCAGTGTTGGGAGGCGGCATCATGGGATGGGTAGGCACTCCCTCACTGGCTTTCCCACTCACTAGCTGTGTGAACTTAGTACTTCTGAGACTCAGTGTCCTCCTCTGTAACAAAGGGGTATCTACCCCTCAGTGTTGTTTTTGAGGATTTAATGAGATAAGAATGTAAAAGCATTTAACACAGCATCTGGCATAGAGTTACCAGTTGCTGACACACTCCATGTGTATCAGAGTAGAAATGTGCTCCATAGGGTTTTCAATGACCAGGCCTTTCTTCTGAGGTGCCTCATAGTGGACTCAAACCTCCAGCTTTTTGGTTAGCAGCCTAGCATGTTAACCACTTGCACCACCCAGGCACTCTGATATATAATAACCCTAAACCCAAACCCACTGCTGTCTAGTTGATTCTGACACATAGGCAACCCCATAGGGTTTCCTAGGCTGTAAATCTCTACAGAAGCAGACTGCCACATCTTTCTCCCATGGAGCTGCTGGTGTTTTCAAATTGCCGACCTTTCAGTTAGCAGTCATCACTTTAACCACTGTGCCGCTAGGGCTCCTTGATATATAATAAGCCCTCAATAAATGTTAACTATCGTTATCCTCATCTACACCTGCTCCCTGCATGGCCCTTCTTTGAAGCTTCTTGAAAGCGTCTAGCACCTGTTCTCTCTTGGGCTCCTCTCCCAAGACTGGTTGTGAAACAGATTATGGTCTTCTGAACTCCCTTCCTGGCTCCCCCCACCCCAAATAAGCCTGTGGGCCCTTTTCAATGATTTTATTGCTAATCACCACAAAGACCCAATTAAAGGATAATAAAAAATACCATGAGGAAGTTATATTCTTCTTATGGACCCTGGTCCATATTTCCTGACCTTCCTGCTGCCAAGCAGGACCCCATGTCTCTTAGTGGATGTGGAGTGCTAGGCTAAGCTCCTTAGGAGCAGGGCTTCAAACTGATTCCTTCTGGTTGGAACCCCTGCTGAGAATTGCATTTCTAACAAACTTCCAGGAAATACTAATGGTGCTGGTTAGGGACCAATCCTGAGATGCACCAGTAGAGGTTCTCAAAATTTATTATACATAAGAATCACCTGGGGATCGTGTTAAAATGTAGATTCTGATTCAGTGTATCTGGGGGTGGAAATGCAAATTCTCAGCAGGGGTCCGAACCGGAACGAACCAGTTTGAAGCCCTGCTTAGGAGGCTGGGTCATTCAGCTGGCCCTGCTGATAGCCCTGAAGCTGTTTCCCAGATTTCTCTGTAAAATGGGCTCACCTGCCCTGAAGGAGGCCAGTTGGGCACAGATGTCTCCAGGCAAAGAGCAAATAATGAGGTAGGGTATGCCCACCAGACCCTTTCTTCAGATAATAGAAGCTCCAGAGACCCAAGAGCAGACTATTTCTATTCGAGCAGAATGTCCTGGGTGTGGCCTTTCCTGCTCTGCACAGGGGTACAGCTACAATGAGTGGCAGACGTGGGTGCCTGGGTCGGAAGGGTGGGAGTAGTCATCCTGAGGCCTCAGCCTTTAGAATCTTGGACCAGCAGGTTGGTACCTGAAACCTCTTCATGTCCATGACTCGTTCCAGTGAGACAGAGCAGTCTGTCCAGTACACAGTCCACTCCTCATCCTCTCCCACCTCCTTCAGGCCACACATTTGGGCTGCCCGACGCACTGTAGAGATAGGACGTTAGTAGTCCCAGCCTGGGCACTAGCAACAAGCCCTGGAGCTAGCTGGGTCAGGACAGACCTGATGGGAGAGGGGCAGGTTGAAGAGGGAGGTAGTTCTTACCTCAGCTCTGCAGTTTAGTGACCATGTGACAATTCCAAGTTCATGAGGCTGTCAGGGCCCTTCCAAAATCTGTGGCAGAGAAAACTAGAGCCTGGCTCTCTGCTCCTGTCAGCTCTGGTTTTCTCCCTATCTCTCAATCAAGATTGTTCTGGCCTGCAGAGCTGTCTCTGGGAGGGTTCGCACTGGCACCTCAGGCTCTGAAATGCCAATGGAATAGGAGGGGACGAAGGAGATGGCTGATCTAGCTGGTGATTTAAAAAAAAAAAAAAAAAAGAAATTGCTGAGGCCTCTCAAAGCTTCCTCAAAAAAACTCTTTTAATCTGGTCTTGTCCCATCTCTGGTAAATCTGGGAAGGGTTGGGCAGTGGTGACTTGTGGCCATTTTTTTTCTTGTTAGCTCACTACCACTGAGACTAACTGGAACAGTGATGTCTCAGCTGCCAGTAGCTGAGCCAGGGAGCATCAGGAAGTTCAGTACAGACTATGGGCCAGACCTTGTTTGTCTGACAAGATCCAGGGGCTGGGAGCATGATTAGGGGATCACCCCCAGAATAACAGCGCACGGTGATGTGAATGACAAGCACAATGGTGTGGGTGATGATCTGGCTGCTTACCACTCTCATACTTGCAGTTGGTCAGGTTGATGGCTAGGGGTCTGGAATAGAGGAATAACAGAAATCAGGCAGATTGGGAGGGAAGGACAAACCCTGGGCTGCCAGACACCCAGATGAAGACACCCAACAAATTTGACACAATACAATTGTGTTGAATTTTCTCTAGAAGCCATTTAAAGACCAGTTGATACATGTTGAAAGAAAATTCCAAACTGAGCCAACCCAAATATTTGAATTTTGTTCCTGTCGTACCAAAATGTTAGTGATGTTTCCATATTCCCTGTCTGCTTTCACAGGCTGAAGGGAGGACCTTAGATCCCAGCCCCCTCCACTGCTGAGAGGGAGGCCAGGAGGTGACTCTCTAGAACCCAGCAGGTAAGGGGGTCCAGGGAATGGTTACCTGTGTTTCCTCTTTCTCTTTCTTCTCCCAACTTCTAAGTCCTCTGGGTCAGTTGGGGCTATAGTTTTCTTTGGAATTTTCTTAGCTATAATGGATAAGGGAGCCCCATTCCCAAATGCATTATAGTCAGCCTTTGAGAGTGCCTCATTAGAAGGGTTAGAAGGGATAGTTTCTCCCCCTTTAACACATTCCTCCTCAGATTCCTCTTCCTCAACATAGTCTTCCTCCGATTCACTGGTTTTACAGGTACTCGGCTCCATCCTCTTAGATTCTGTAGGAGGGTGGGTGGGAGTGAAATATTATCAGAACTCCCCTCCAGGCCCTGGGAAGGCCTGCAAGAATCCTCCCAAAAGACCTTCATGGTGTTACAAGGGAATGTTGCTGCCCCTTCAAAACAGAACAATGCCACTACAGAATAGGATGTTTTCTAGTAGGTAGATGGGCCGTGGGATGCCTATCTGAGATACACATTTCCTGATAACAAGCCCCAATCCTTCAGGATCACTCCATACAACACACTGGAGTGCATTCAGGGTACAGCTGGCAGGGACCATGACTTTTTTGGTTGCTAAATCGGGAGAGGGATGGCTGGGAGCGCTGGGGGGAAGGGGGGCTTCGCTTTTAAAATAGAGCTGAAGACCAAAAATCTCCTAAGCCGACAATTTCCCCGTCCCAGGACTCAGTTTCTACACGTGTACACAAACGGGCCAGGCACCCAATGGCTAAGACCCCTTGGGCACTGTCTGCAGAGGGGAAGCCCACGGCGGACACTGCCCACCAAAGGTTTCGAGGAGAGCGGAGGGGCTGCAGGGTCCGCCCCTAGGGGCCCACGGCTGAGCTCAGCTGGTCGTTCATGTCCGCTCTTCGCCCGGCTCCCGCTCCTTCCCGGGCGTCGCTGGGCGTCCGGGACCGCCTCCTAGTTCCACAGGACGGGCTGCCCCAGTCGATCGCGAGAGGGAGCCCGCTCCCCGGCGGGGCTCGCTCCTAAAGATCCCGGCGGCGGCGGCGCCTCGTAGAGCAAGCTGGCAGCCGCCGCCGCCGTCGCCATGGACACGAGGGCGGCCCCCATTGGAGAAGAATCCTGGGGGGCGGGGCCTTCCCGGGAACCCCACCCACTTGGACGCCGACCGTGGCCATCTTGGGCGGGGGAAGCAAACGTTTGCCTTCTGGGACCGGCCGTGGAGCGCCTTCGAGCCCGCGACCCGATTCCCGCGGCGGCGGGACTTGTAGTCCTTCGCGTGAACGCCAGTTCCCACCTCCCCACCATCCTTCCTTGAACCCGCGGGCCAGTCCGGTATTTGGCCATGTCTGTGTTCGGGACAAGTATCTGCTTGCCTTTCTTCAGTTTTTCAATAAATGCCTTGACCAGCCTCTGCACTTGGGGGAGACAGCCGCGATTAGAACACGTGCCCACAAGTTCCCACCCTGCGAGACGCTCACCCTGGCTAAGAGCTATCACTTAACTAAGCAATAGCAAAACTGCCTTATCAGTGTTCTTCACTGCCACCTCCCTCCTCTTCCTGACATCCACCCACTTATCTACTGCTTCCCACCTTCACCATACTCAGCTCAACTTGTCACCTTAAGATTATCCTGTGTGGCTAAATTCAGAGGGCACTTTAAAAATGTCCCTCCTTTAAAAAAAGGACATTTCTAATTCATAGCTTTCTTAATCTTTATTTAGCATATGATCTCTCAATTACCGCTTTCTTGAAATGCCTTTGACTTTTTCGACACTCATTTTTCTCATTCTTTCCACAAATATTTAGCGTTCCAGGAACTGGAGCACCATCATTTCTTGCCTGAATCGCCACCATTCAGCGGACTCTTAATTGGATTCCCTGATTGTAGTCTTCCTTTCTTGATCCACCCAACCATCTTCCCCTTTGCAGCTTGGATTTTCTTCCTAAAATGCAAACCTGTTGCTCTCTACTTTAAAACTCTTCAAGGTTTGCCATTAGATTAAGCCCGAAAACCCTTTGGCATATGAAGCTTTCCATCAAGAAGCTGTCCCTCCGCCGGCAAAGAGGTGAAGCGGTCCTGCGCTGGATCAGCACTTTCCACCCTGCCTGAAGCCCTGCTTCCTTAGCTGGGACTCGGAGTACAAAGGGTTCCCTAGGTGTTCCATACTTAAGCTCTGAAAAAGCTTCAGTCCAAACCCCCTTCTTAAAAGATTCACAAGTCATATAAATGGCTGAGAAGTACCCACCATAAAGAAAACCCAGTTGACTTTTTTCCCTTTTTTATGGAAAAACTTCTTTGGGCCAAGGAAAGATTTCCCCTGAACATCAGTCCTAGGGAGAAACTGGGAAAATCCTGATATTTGGGCTCATCACCTTGAACACAAAATCCACTTTGCAGCAATGATCATCTGTACTCCCTTCAGAGAGCAAGCAAGTAAAATAAAGTGATGTTGTTGGAGCATGTATACGCAAAGGATTGCAGAAAGTGACAGTAAATGAAAGTTAACTGCAACTTGCCAAAAATTTGAGAGTGACCAAAAAATTCTGATAGACTATTAAACTGTTTTTCTTTTTAAATAGGTTATGGGTATATATTCTGCCTTATTCCTGCCCAAAATTCTGCCTTTGTAACATCCTTTGGGATATAAAACCTCTAAAATTCTACATAAATGCTGCACACACAGGGCCAGGGCTCCCATGTTGAGAAAGAAAGGAGCCAAAACCTCTACTGGGAGGCTAGGCTGGCCAGGGGGAAGCCCTTTCAGCTGACAGCTAGTACCCACCTCTGTGAGCCTCCTCTGACCTCCCATCTTCTGAGCAAGGATTCTTGTTTCCCAAGGTGTTTGGGGCAGCAGTGGTGGCAGTGAGGATCATCTCTGTTGAGATCCAGACCCAAGGTTTCTTTTGCTTTTGCTGTATAACAACAATCAAGGGAAATCCAAGGAGAATGGCTTTTTATACACAAGTATTCTCCTACAGTAGGTCCCTAGGTGGTGGATATGGTTTGCACTCGGCTACTAACTGAAAGGTTGGCAGTTCGAACCCACCCAGCAGTGCTGTGGAAGAAAGGCCTGTCAATCTGCTTTCATAAAGACTATAGCCAAGAAAACCCAATGGAGCTCAGTTCTACTCTGTAACGCATGGGGTCACCATGAGTCAGAAATGACTCAACAGCAAAAGGTTGTTTTTTTTTTTTTTTAAGTCTCTTACAATACCACCGATTGACATCTCTTCTGGAACCAGTGTGGAAAGCTCTGGAATAACAGGGCAGAACAAAGCGATGAGATAACTGACTCAGACGGAAGCGGAGGAGCAAAGACTTAGCTGTGGATTTTATGGGGGGCCTACATCATGAGGAGCTTGCGACGTACCTGGGAAGGACCCCAGGAGGGCTGGCTGAGGCTCACCATCCATGAACTGTTAAGGACAGCACCACCCATCATGGGAGCCACTGACTGGAGGGGCAGTCACAAGTATAAACTGTCCTAGCTTGGCTTCTGGAGTCTGACTATCTGTACTCCAATCCCAGCTCCACCACTTATGAGCTGTCTGACCTTGGGCAAGCTACTAAATCTCTGTCAGCCTCCATCTCTTCATTTGTTAAATGGGGTATTAGGAGGGCCTGTAACTTTAAAGTTGTTGTGAGGACACCTTGTTTTCAGTGTTGGGGCCAGGTAGGTGAAGTTAGGCACGTGGGAATGGAGCAGGGCAGAATGTAAGGAAGGGACAAAGAAGTAAGAGTCAGTGGTAGGCAAAGGGAGAACAAGCAGAGAAGTGAGAACAGAGCAAGGTGGGGCACACATGCTGGAGGCACATAAACTATCACTTTCCTAAGACTTGATATTAAAGGACAAGAAAAGTCCAGTCAACACCATATTCTTCTCTAAAGTCAGGAGTGTGTGACTTTTGTACACACTCCCTTCTTAACAATAGTTTGACATCTATGGGGTGAAAGAAGAAGAATGGAGAGAAGCAGCAGATACAACCATGAGGGCTCATTTGTTAGATTTATTCCAAGGTTTCTTTCTTTTAAAGACCACTTACCAGTCTTTATCCTTTCCTTTCAGCTGAGACAGGTAAGAAGGCAGTCATGCACAATGCCCAATGGCCATATGGACAGGGCTCTGGAAAAGGACTAAGATCAGTAGAAAATAAATACCTCAGTAAGGATTACTGCTCCTCCTGGGCCACCAGGGCCACCAGTGCTGCCTGGACCTCTTCTGCCTGGGCTGGAGGCAGCAGACAGTCCTGGATCAGGGTCAGAGCAGCTGCTTCTGTCAGGCTGGTGAAGTCCTGGGATGTTTTGATGGGGAGGTGCCCGGCCAGCTCACAGAGGGCAACATTGAAAGCCTCGCCTTCCTTTATCCCAAAGCTGGACTTCCGGGCCCAGAGAATGACTCGAACCCCTGTGAGGGCTGAGGAAGGTGATGTCTTTCCAGGCAGGGCCCCCCGGGTCACAAATAAGTTATGTGCAATCTCGTGGTCGGTCAGGTAGTCAGTGGCCCGACACACCCTGCTTACCAAGGCTTCCAAGTCAGGTCCTGGGCCGCCTGTGTAAAAGAGGAAGCCGGGAGCTGGGAGGGCCTGGAGAAAATGCAGATGGCCTCCAGGGTCCAGGGGCTCACTTGGTGCCCCCTCCACGGGCAGTCTATGGGCCAGGTAATAGCCATGCAGGTGTAGGTGGTTCACTGAGGCCAAGCCACCCAGGCTGTTGAAGCCAACACGGAAGCCTGGGTGTAGGCTCAGCAGCACAGCCTCAACTCCAGCCCGCAGTGCACCTGGCAGCAGGCGCTGGGGGAGCCCCCGGGCAGGCTCGGGCACCAGCAGCACATGGCCCCACTCCAGGGGGCTGACATTGATCATCACAAGGATGTCCTCTTGTTGGACAGCACCGGGCAGATCAGGCTCTCGGTGCAAACGGAAGAGGATTTCTCCCGGTCGAACCTTGTTGAAGTTAAACTGTTCTGGGTCAAATGGCTGCCTCACACTCCTGATGCTCTGGGGGCGTCTTCTCTGCACCCCTCGCTCCACATTTAGCTGAGCCACAAAACCTACGGCACCAGGGAGTGTTTGGGTCTGCAATTCCCCCAGGTGGTAACGAAACAGACCCAGCTCCATCCGCTGCCTCCAGGCAGAGCAGACGGCAGAGTCGAAGCGAGACAGTGGCAGAGCTCCTGGAACACCAGATGCATTCCTGGGCCACTGAATCTCTCTCATCAGGAGTTCCTCCTGCCCATAGACAAAGTCAGGAATGCCTTGCTCCTCCCAGTCCTCCTTGTTTGAAGGCAGCAAATAGGACACTTCATTTGAGTCATATGGAATAGCCATGGGACTGACCTGAAACAAAGAGGTGAAAAAATGCATGACACCTTTTCACTTCCAGAGGCTTTATTTTATTTTCAAATAATTTTTACAAAAATAATATATGCCTTTGGTAAAGTATTTAAAAAACAGAGAAATCACTCATAATTCTATCAGTTGCAAATGAGCATACATTATTGCTGGCTTAAAATTATTTGTCAACTTTTTTTTTGCTTTGTAAACGTTATAGATATTGACTGCATAAACATTTTTAAATGGAGGAAAAAAATAAAGAAAATACAGCGCTTATCCCAAAACCCAGGGGAAAAATTTCAGGGTTTACATTTGGCATCTACAGCTTCATTTTTATATACTGATGGATCTTGATTCTTTAACCAATCTTCAGTTGTTGTACATACAGGTTGTTATCAATTTGATACTATTATACACAATGTTGTGATGAACATCCACGTACATTCATCTTCGCACACTTTTTTTTCTTTAAAATAGATCTCCAGTAAAGCGCTGGGTCAGAGCAGGCCCATGACTAAGGCTTTGGATACACACTCTGTCAAAGTGCCCTGCAGAGAACTGTGCCAGTATATGGGTGCCCAGGGCATCAAAGCTGACCACTCTTTTGTGGGAAGAGCTTTTCCACTGCTCTGTAGTGATTCCACGTGGCCGTGCACAGAACCATTTGGGTGAGGACAGCCCAATGTCTGTATAAGCACCTAGAGCCAGTCCTTCAAGGGGGAAATTGGTGTCTGTCTTCATCTCTCATTGGCCTCCTAGAACCCTGTGGACCCAGAGATGTCATGGAGAGAGGCCCAGGGGGAACTTCAGAAGAAGGCATTACCTTGTTGGAGTTGCTTCAGTCCAAGTTTGGGTTCCCTCAGCTTTGCTGGCCCAGAAACTTCACAATAACAAAATAGAAAGGAAACATAAAAAGCATATGAAATGACTTAACCAAAAGTCAAATTAAGCATAGTTTTGACAATAAAATGTAAAGTCTTAAATTATTCTATTAAAAGTGAACCTCAAAATGGATTTAAGAAATCCAATCATTTGCTATATAACTGAACTATACCTAAGACAGCACTCACTCAGTCACTCTCTCTTTTCATTCATTCAGAGTCAAACCCCCACCTCATGCCTGCTCCAGTGTTCTGGGGGTGCCTCTTCTGTACACCCTACTCCACATTCAGTTGAGCCACAAAATCCAAGTATTTACGAAGTGCCTACAATGTATGAGGCATTGAGGGCAGTAACAAGTAACATGGACAAGGTCCCTGTCATCATGGACCTTACATTTTTGTGGTGGAATCAGACAATAAGCAAGAATAAACAAGTTAACTTCCGATGGTGATAAGTACTTTGTGGAACATAAACAAGTGATACAATACAATGTAACTAAGCAGTGGGGATCAGGGTGCTTACTTCAAATAAGAGGACAGGACACGGCTCTCTGAGATGACAGCTGAGACATGAAGGATGAGAAGATGTCATCAATGAAGAGCTGAGGAAAGCATGTTCTGGGCAGAGGGAACTGCAAGTCCAAGTCCTTGAATCAGGCAGGAGCCTGGCCTGTTGCAGGACCAGAGAGGCGGCCAGTGTCACTGACGCATGGTAGACAAAGGGGAGAGGGTCCGAGATGAGGCTGGAGAGGAAGGCAGGGGGCTTAAATACATCATGGTCAGGAGCTTGGATTTTACTCTCAATATAATAAATCACTGACAGGTTCTAAGCAGGAGAATGATCTTTTATTTTATAAACCTTTTTCTAACTGCTGTGTAGAAAATGGATTGTTGGGGAGCGAGAGGGGAAGCAGAGAGAGACCACCGAGAAGGCCATTCCAGTGGCCAGGAGAGAGATGGGGGGTGGGGGAGTTGGCCTACTGGGATGGCAATTGAGAGGAACGGGGGGTTTAAGTCACGTTTTGGAGGTTGAACCAACAAGACCTGCTGACGTGTTAGCTATAGACACTGAAGAAAAGAGAAGAACTAGGGGTGACTCAGCTTCAGACACTAGGTAGATTGTTGAGGCATTTACAGAGATGGGGAAACTATGGAGATGGGTGGGATTAGGTTGGCTAGAGGAGGAGAGAAATCAAGAACTCAATTTTGATTACTGAGTTTGAGATGCTCCCTGGGTACATGAGAAAGGAGGTTGTGTAAGCAGCTGGACAGTCAAGCCTGGAGCTCAGGGTAACGTCTAGGCTAGTGAGTAGATCATAAATAATCAAGTATAATCAAATATCTACTTTTTTCACTTCTCTGTTCAGTTCTGACACCAGTTGTCTATGCAGCACTTCTTCCTCTGACCCTAAGCACGTGAAGTTAGGTCAGAGCTCACAAGTTAAAGCCTAAGACTTCAGATGTTAGCTGCAAGCTTGGAAGTCCATACAACACCCTCATTTCTGACCCACTGGCCACAGTTTAGGGTTTTTCCACTACTGCTTCAGGATGCCAGGCTCAAGCTTGGGTGGGGGCTGGTCTCTCCTCACTTTTGACTTGCTAGTTACAAATTCAGGGTTTCCTCTACCCCCTCAGGATACCAGCCATAAACTTAGGGGGCCCCCGCCCCTCTCACTTCTGACCTGCTGGCCCTCACTACTCTCTCAGGTTTGATAATTCGCCGGAATGACTCCAGAACTCAAGGAAAGGGCTCTACGTAATGATTACAGCTTTACTGTAGCAAAAAAGGATACAAAGTAAGAGACGCATAGGGCTACAGGGTGAGGTCTGGGAGGGTTCCCAGCTAACAACAACCATTCACTAGCTATGTGACCTTTCCGAAAAACTCACTGCCGCCAAGTCTATCTTCTGACTCATACTGACCCTAGAGGACAGTGTAGAACTGTCCCATAGGGTTTCCAAGGTTGTAACCTTTACAGAAGCAGACTACCACATCTTCCTCCCGAGGACCAGCTGGGGGGTTCGAACCGCTGACCTTTTGGTTAGCAGCCAAGCGCTTTACCGCTGCACCACAAGGGCTCCTTTTGTGATCTTAAGCTCCTGTAATAAAGTCCAGTTCCTTACCACGGCCTAGCTGTGCCTCCCTCTCTCACCTCATTTCATACCACTCTTCCCTTTGTCCACTGTGCTCCTCACTCTTACTAAGCTTACTCCTGCTCAGTGCCTTAAGGCTTTCTGTTCTTTTTGCCTAAAATACCCTTTCTCTAGATTTTCTCCTTCAGGTCTCAGGTCAATTGTCACGTCCTCAGAGAAACCTGTGCTACCACCCTATCTAATATCCCAAGGAAAACAGGAAGAAAGAAATCTTAATATTACACGGAGGAAAAAAGTGTCTTGGAAAACAAGAAAAAAAATGGAATTAATTCACAAATCCAAGAGTGGACACTTTGACAGAAATATAACCAATAATACCCCTTTGAAAAATCTAACCAAAGAACAAAAGATTTACAACAAACAGCACTAGAAGCTATTTTTAAAAGTATAACAGCAACTTAGTTTGATCACTGTATCAAGTTTTGATCAGGTGAGGGAAAGACAGTGTGCTAACCAGATTCACCAGGGACTGCTGGATGATGCAGAACAGAACATCTCTTTAATAATTTACAATGAAAAACACGCCAAACAGCACAAAATGTTCTTATTGTCTGTTCAGTATATTCCCTCCTCTGCACAAACATCTACCAGAAAGCACAATTATAATCAGAAGGATGTTCAGTGAAAAAGGACAGAACCAACTGAGGTGGCTGGAAGATCCAGATCACGCTGGTCACCATGATACAAAGCCAATTCCTACATCTTCACTATGAACAGAAACAGACTTGCCATGAGGTCAGGTATTGGCTGGCCAGCACTCCCTCTCAGTCTAGTGTAGGCAGTGACAGCTTCTTGCTTTTTGCCTCCTCTTTTTACTAACTGAGGAGCCCTGGTGGTGCAGTGGTTAAGAGCTTGGCTGCTAATCAAAAGTCAGTGGTTCAAATCCACCAGCCGCTCCTTGGAAACCCTAAGGGGCAGTTCTACTCTGTCCCAGAGAGTTGCTATGAGTTGGAATCGACTCAGTAGCAACGGGTTTGGTTTTTTGGGTTTTACTAACTGAAGATCAAACCTTTTCTACAGAAAGAGCCTATTGTCGGAGACAAACAATCAGGTTATAGCTTCCTAGGACTACACCAGTCACCTTGATTGGTCTTGGTGTTCCCATAGCTTTGCAGCCTCCCCTTTCTTGGAGTGGAACATTTCTACAATGGTGGAACTCACTCATTATTATATTGTGATACTGTGAATCTTACTAGAGTCACTCTCAGATGACTGCCTGATTATCGAGCACTGGGAACACCTCAGACACTCAGCACACATTTACTACACAACTGTCACAAATCAGGTCCTGGGGATAATAGCTCTCCATAGCTCCTCATGGGGCTTGCAGTCTAGCGGGGGAAACAGACATTAAGCCAATTATCACCCAATACAAAATCTGCATGCTCTCAAGGAGAAGGGCTGGGTACCCTGAGAGTGTAAAATAGATTCCTAATCTAGTCCAGGGAGTCAGGAAAGGCTTCCCTGTGGAAGATGCTTGAACTGAAGGATGACTACAAGTGGCTAAGAGTTAACGAGAAACGGAAGGACTTGAGGAGAAAACTTTCCAGGTAAAGGAGAACAGAGCGTGCAAAGACCCTGAGGCTGGGTGGATCATGGCCAGGAAAAGGAACTGAGAGCCCACAGTGGCTGAAACACAAGAGAGCCATGGGGAGAGGGCAGAGAGACAGGTGGAAGTCAGGTCATGGAGGGCCAGCATTTGGGTTTTTAACCATTTAATGGTTTTAAACTGAGAGTGATAACGCTCAGGTTTCGAGTTTACAAAGATCAGCAAGGAGAATAAATTGGAAGAATCAATAATTAATACCACCTCCACCAGGCAGCTTGGAAACCTCATCTTTTGGAACAGTGTAGTTTCTTTCATTCACTCATTCATTCATTCATCCGATAAATATTAGCTGAACCCTAAGAATTGTCCTAGGGCCCATAAAATAAACAGTAACACCGGAGAGGAACGTGTTCCTTAGAACCATCAATTATACAAGATCAAAAGGACAACATTTGCCCAAAAGCAAAGATGAGAAGGCAGGAAGGGATAGAAAAACCGGACGCAAGGAAACCGGGAACCCAGGGCGGAAATGGACAGAGTGCTGACACACTGTGGGGAATGCAACCAATGTCAGCCAACACTTTAAATAAGTACAAATTATCGAATGGGAAACTAATTTGCTCTGTAAATTTTCACCTAAGCAAACACAATACAATATCTTTTAAAAAATTGTCCTAGGGGCTGAGAAGGGGGCAGCAACAAACAGGTCAGCACCGGTCCCTACTGCCGGATGCACGCGGTGTAGGGGTGTGGGTGGGGTGGGGTTAGAGGTGAGTGTCTCAGTTGCAAGGGTGACAGCAATAGAGAGCAACGGAACGAGCCTTGGATTGGAGCGACCACTTTCTAATTGCCCGAACCTGGACCTCTGTTTTTCCACATTTGTAAAGCAGGAACCTACCTTGCAGGGCTGTCTTAAGAATCGAAGAAAACTACGCACAGTGTTTGGCATTCAATGGGCCCTCAGTCAACGGCAGCAAGGTTGTGGATACTCCTGGAAGAGGTGGCATGGGGGCTGCAACACATGGGACGAATGCCAACTGATATAGTCTGGAAAAGTCTTCGCTGGGCAGGTGGGCAACCGACCGGTTCCGGCCACTCAGCGAATCTCGAGATTTCCCAGGTACCCTGGCTCCAGGGACTTCCCAGATGTCCCTTACTCGACCCCGCCCAGGACCGCCGCCGCCACCACCAGCAGTAGGTGAGGCAGACGCACCGCGCGACTTCCTCCTCAGCCGCTACCGGGGCCATAGCTAGGGCTCGATGCCCTTAACGCATGCGCAACCGGCTCTCACGAACGCGGCGCGCCCGATCCGCCCACCCCGGAGGCGGGGCCGTGCGGCCTGGGCTCCGCCACGGAGCGTCCGGCCCCGCCCCCGGGCCCCGCCTCCAGCTGGTCGGGGACCGCCCGGAGCCGGGAGCTAGCCGGCTAAAGTCCGCGGAGAGTTCCTCGGCGCTTTAAGGAGGGGGCGGGACCCAGGACGGTGGCCCCAGGGGCGGTTGCTGCGGGGACGGGGCGGTGACGCGGCCGGAGGGCGGAAGTGAGAAAGTTGTCGGCGTCCCGAGCAGAGTTGCCGGAGCGGTGCGCGCGGCGCGGCGATGGGGGGCTCGGGCAGTCGCCTGTCTAAGGAGCTGCTGGCCGAGTACCAGGTGCATGGGACGCCGGTCTCCTGGGAGCTCGCGCGCGGTCCTGCCCCGGGAGTGGGGTCTCAGAGCGGGCGGCAGGGTGGGCGAGGCCTCGGGGCGGCCGGCTGACCCCTTCTCTGGGTTTGCCTTCCAGGACTTGACGTTCCTGACCAAGCAGGAGATCCTTTTGTAAGTGCCGCCTCCGACCTCGGGGCGATCTAGGGACGGTTTCGAGCGGTGCTGTTTTAGAGATTGGCAAGGCCCCCAGAGGGAGGGGCAGGGGCTTGCCTGAGTTAGGCAGCGGAGCCGGAAATGGGGCCTTGGACTCCGAGCCCCCGCCCCGGGCTGTGCCCTCCTCCCGGCACGCCCTGCCTGGCCCCGCCGGGGCCCCCAGCTTTGCAGTGCGAAGCCGCCTCACGGTCCCCAGAAAAGTTGGGTGTTCTTTGACCCTCCTTCTACACAGGACTCCTGAACTTCCTGCCCCAGGCCGACAGGGAATGCTGTGGCTCTTGGCTGACTTTGCCCACTAGCAAAACCAGAGATGCCTGACTCCTTCCCCCGAATAATACAGTAACCATTCACGCTTACCATGGCGCCAGGAACTGTGCTGAATGGTTGTCCACATATCCTACTTCCATCCTCACGAGGGAGGTACTGGGACAGTGAAACAGGTTCAGAGAGGTTTGGTGACTTGCTTAAGACACTCACAGTTCAGGGATTTGACCTCGGGCTGGAACCCCGTTTTCTAGTCTTGTGTCAACTTCATCGTGGGCCAGGGCACTTGAGTGATGAGATTCCTGGGCTTCCCTTGACAAAGATAATCCCAGTGGGGAGGAGGTGAGTGCCGAGAACAGATAGTTCACGGAAGCTGATAAAGAGAGGGAGGCTTTGAGGAACCAGAGATCCCTGGGGTGAGAATGTGATTTTGATTCTGTTCTTCTCCCCTGTTCTTCAGGGCTAGCTTCTGACTCCTTTCCCCAACCTCTCCACCCCTCTGAGATCTCCAGAACCATTGCCCAGCACAGTGCCTGGCACACAGCAGGCCCTCCCTAAATACTCATTCTGAGAATGTATTTCTAGCCTGTACATCTTGTGATATATCTCCTTTCTGCTTATGTTGCCTAATGACTTTCAGGAGTCTTATGTATGTGGGGGGCCCTGGTAGTGCAGTGGTTAAACTCTTGACTGCTAACCAAAATGTCAGCAGTTCAAACCCACCAGCCAGCCGCTCCTGGAGAAAGATGTGGCAGTCTGCTTCCGTAACGATTTACAGCCTTGGAAACCCTATGGGGCAGTTCTACTCTGTCCTACAGGGTCGCTGTAAGTTGGAATCCACTCTAGGGCAGTGGGATGCTTTTTTTTTTTAATTCCTTGTGTTGCTATCCTTTGTACACCAGGTAAGGCTCTATGGCTCTGTGCCACGTACATACCAAAAAAAACCAAAAACAAATCTTTACGGAAGCACATTGCCACGTCTTTCTCCTGCACAGTGCCTAGTGGGTTCGAACCCCCTGATCTTTCGGTTACTAGCCAAACACTTTAACCTGCGCCACCAAGGCTCCTACGCAAGGAATGGGAACTAAAGAATAGGAACATGATATACCCAGGAAGACTGGGATTGGTTGAGTGAGCCAATGAGTTCCCCTCTCTGGCAGAGCCCACAAGCGGTTTTGTGAGCTGCTTCCTCCGAATCATCGGAGCGTGGAGGAGTCACTGCAGGCACGGGTGCCCTTCCAGCAAATCCTCAGCCTTCCAGAGCTCAAGGTACCAGCCCCTTACCCCCTCCACACACACATTCCCTCTGCTAGACTCCCTCTTACCTACACTGCCTTTGAGGTCATGAAGTTACTGGTCCCCGTTTTGGCTCGTTCTCTGTTTAGCCTTAATTTCCTGGGGTCAGGGGCCTTACCAAATCACCCAGTGGAATTATCTAGGATAGTGTTTCTCACACGAGGTTCTAGGACATATTCTCAGAGGTTCAAAGAAGTTTTGTCCTTTAAGAGGAATCAAGTTACCTTATTAAAGTTTGAGAGTCCCTGTTCCAGAGGGTGACTACCACTCTGTGAAAATTACTGTGCAAAGGACCTCGCCCAGTGCTTGTAACAGAACAGGGGTTCAATTAAATGTTTGTGTTTTGAATTACCTAGCTGTTGTGGATTGAATTGTGTCCCTCAGAAATATGTGGTGTAAATCCTAACCTCTATGCCTGTGGTCATAATCCCATTTGGGAATGGGTTGTTTTTGTTATGTCAGTGAGACAGGATTAGTGTAGGATATGTCTTAAGTCAATCTCTTTTGAGATATAAAAGAGATTAAACAAGCAAGCAAAAGTAGCAGAGATGAGGGGATAGAGATGCCAAACCACATGAAAATCGCCCAAAGCAGAAGCTCAAAGGAGACAAGAATCTTCCTCCAGAGCTAACAGAGAGAGAAAGCCTTGCCCTAGAGTTGGTGCCCTAAATTTGGACTTCTAAGCTTCCTAATTGTCAGAAAATAAATTTCTGTTTGTTAAAGCCACCCGCTTGTGGTATTTCTGTTATAGCAGCACTAGATACCGAGAGGTGGGAGTGCTGCTCTAACAAATACCTACAGGATGGAAATGGTTTCGGATAATGAGTGGAGGCTGGAAGAGTTTCAAGGTGCCTAATAGTAAAAGTCTAGATTGCGTTGAAGAGACTGTTGGTAGAATTATGGATGACAAAGGCAATTCTGGTGAGAGCTCAGAAGGAAAGTGAGGAGAGCTATAGGGAAAGTCTCTGTCATCTTGGAGAATACATATGGTGCCAGCAACAGAATGTTGCTAGAAATGTGGACGTTAAATGTGCTTCCAGTGAGGCTTTAAAAGAAAGTGATGAACATGTGATTGGACAATGGAGGAAGGGTGATGCTTTTTATGCAGTAGCAAAGAACTTGTCAAAATTATGTTCAAATGTTTGGTGGAAGGTAGAACTTACAAGTGATGAACTTAGATATCTGGCTGATGAGATTTCTAAGCAAGAACTTAAATGGGCTGCATGGTTTTTCCTTGTCTTCTATAGTAAAATGCAAGAGGAAAGAGATGGACTTTAAAATGAACTGTGCAAAATGAAAACAAAATTTAAAGATTTAGCAAATTTTGTTGTTCAAACTAGGGACATATATCCTTGAACTTTCACCAAGGATGTGGCTACACAATCTTCTGTTAAAGAGAGTAAGCCTGTGACTGATGGATCTAACTACCTACCACAGCAGAAAACCCACCAGCTTAGACTGAAGGGGACAAAGGAAAGAGTGAAAGAAAAGAATGCTGTCTGCTTCTTGGAATTCTGCAGGCAGGAAAAAGGCTAAAGGAGCTACATCTGTTCTCCTCCCAAGAAAAGAAAAGGAACATCCATGGAGCAGCTCGGAGATCAGCAGAACTGTTGGAAGGAGCACAGGAAACAGGGCCTTCTCAGTTTCAAAGTGTGGGGGCCATGGTCTCATGGATCTCAAAGAGTGGAGCCACAGCCTCCTAGGTTTTAAAGAATTGGATCTTTGCCAACTTGGTTCTGAAGTATGGGGCTGCCTTTAAGGTGTGCCAGGGGCATGAGGCCACCACCTAAAGCTGAGGGGGCGGGGCTGCCATGCCTAAGGGACGGAAGAACAGGGCCTGCCAGGGCCAAGAGGGTGGGGCCACCACTCAGGTGGTCTGGGAGAATGGGCCTGCCCAAAGTCAAGGGAGCAGAGTTGCTATCCCAGTGGCCTAGAAGGTGGACCTGAAGCCCAGGGCTGAGGAGCCTCCAGCCAGAATGCAGAGGGCATGGCCAAACCCAGAGTCTAGAGGACAGGGCCATTGCCTAAATGGTCTCAGAGAAGAGAGGATTATTTCCAAGCCTTGAGAGCTAATGTAAATTGTTCTCCTGGGTTTGGACTTGCTTAAACAAAAAAAAACCAAACCTACTGCCATCGACTCAATTCTGACTCATTAGCGACCCTTTAGGACAGAATGGAACTGCCCCCGTAGGATTTCCAAGGCTGTAAATCTATGGAAGCAGCCTGCCACATCTCTCCCCCTCGGAGCAGCTGGTGGGTTCAAACTGCTGACCTTTTGGTTAGCAGCCGAGCACTTTAACCACTGTGCCACTAGGGCTCCTTAACCTCCAATTTCTTCCATTTGTAATGGAAATGTCTACCTTGCGCCTGTTCCACTGTTGTACTTCGGAAACAAGTAACTTGTAATCTAGATTTCACAGGTTCGCAGGTGAAGAAAAATTTTTCCTCTGGACAGAATACGCCTAGATCACCCACATTTGATTTAGATGATTCAGAAGATGAGACTTTGGACTTCAAGACCTTTGGGATGATGTGATGGGGTGAATGTGTTTTGCATGTGGCAAGGACATGAATTTTCGGGGGCCAAAGGGTGGAATGTTATGGATTGAATTGTGTTTCCCAAAAATATGTGTTGTAAAACCTAACTTTTGTGCCTGTGGTTATAATCGCATTTGGGAATGGGTTGCCTTTGTTAGGTTAATGAGACAGGATTCGTATAGGATGTATTTTAAGTCAATCTCTTTTGAGATATAAAAGAGATTAAACAAGCAAGCTAAAGTGGCAGAGATAAGGGAAGAGACGCCAAGCCACAAGAAGATCTGCCAGAAGCAGAAGCTCAGAGGACACAAAGACCTTCTTTCCAGAGCCGACAGAGAAAGATAGAAAGCTTTCCTCTGGAGTTGGCACCCTGAATTCAGACTCTAGCCTCCTAAGCTGTGAGAAAATAAATTTCTCTTTGTTAAAGCTACCCACTTATGGTATTTCTGTTATAGCAGGACTAGATAACTAAGACACCGGTCTATCTTGTTCCCTTTGCTTAGGATGCTTTCCTCTTCTCTCCCTGCACCCGCTGAAGTTGTATATGACCAGTTTTTGGGTTAAACACTGATTCCCAGGGAGCTATCCCTGTCCCTTCCCCAGCTAGGTCAGTTGGCCCTCCTGTGTCCCCACAGCCTTCCACGTGCTGGTCATGCTCCCTCATAAGCTTGAGCCTTGTGGGGCAGATCCTATGGCCTGCTCCCCAAGTTCCCAGTAGGGTATGATGAGTGTGTGCCCTGGGCTACATCCTGGGCTGCAGTGTTCATGGGAGGCTCTCTTGTCTAGGCCAACCCCTTCAAAGAGCGGATCTGTGGGGTCTTCTCCACGTCCCCAACCAGAGACAGCCTGAGCTTTGAGGACTTCCTGGACCTCCTCAGTGTGTTCAGTGACACAGCAACCCCAGACGTCAAGTCCCACTATGCCTTTCGCATCTTTGGTAAGGACCAGAGCCTGGCGAATGCCACCCTTGCCCACATGGTCTTGTGTGGGGTATGGCTTGGAAAATAGGGGCCATCTGAGGAGCCTTGGAGCTCATCCTGCCCACACCCTTTCTGGCTTCCTGTGTCTGCTCTCCAGACTTTGATGACGATGGAACCTTGAACAGAGAGGACCTGAGCCAGCTTGTGAATTGCCTCACAGGAGAGGGCGAGGACACACGGCTCAGTGCCTCAGAGATGAAGCAGCTCATTGACAATGTGAGCGCTGGTTCAGGCCAGGCTGGGAGCGGGAGGAACGGTCGGGGATTTGGCCTGAAGCTCTCCCTTTCCCAAACAGATCCTGGAAGAGTCCGACATTGATAGGGATGGGACCATCAATCTCTCTGAGTTCCAGCATGTCATCTCTCGTTCACCAGACTTTGTCAGGTATGATGGTAGTCCCCTGCATTCTGGTTACCTACAGTCCCCATCTGCCGCACCTCAGTCTGGGACATTATTACAGGAGGTGGTTCTTGGGGAGAGAGAAAGCTCCCTGCTTTCTGAATGTCTCAGGGTAACTTTTCTCCCAAAGGGGACTGATAGACATGGGACACAGCCCATTCCAAACAAGGTTCTTAGGGGAGAGGTGGGTAAGTGTGGGTTTAGTCTTTACCCCCCTTTTCCAGCAGAAAACCCAACCTACTTTTCTCTTGTTCAGCTCCTTTAAGATTGTCCTGTGACAGGAGCTACAGCATGTGGTCCCAGCACCGTGTCTAAGAACCTTTCCGCTGCTGAACTGTGGCTAAGACTACACCTGGCGTTGCCAGGGCCGGCCAAGCTGGCCTAGCCTGGAGCTGGCACTGCGCAGTCTCGCCCCTGGGTAGGGGAGGGCCTGCTGTGTCAAGGTCTCTCCCCTTCTCACTACCACTGTCATTGCTCTGTTTTACCAATCAATAATAATAAAGATTTAGACGTTTCGATCCTGTGTGTGACAGTAGAAACACTGGGATGAGGGAGGACTGGATTTCTAAGAGCCTTCAGTCATACTGGGAATAAGCAGTGTCTAAAGAAGGGGCCTGGGTGGTGCAAACTGTTAAACACTCGACTGCTAACTGAAAGGTTGGCAGTTTGAGTTTACCCAAAGGTACCTTGGAAGAAAGGTCCAGTGACCTCCAAAAAAATCAGTCATTGAAAACATTATGGAGAGCAAAAGAGAAGGAAACCAAAGGCTGAAAGAAGACAGTCTACAGGACTAACAATCTACATGAACCACGGCCTCATCTGCCCCGAGACCAGAACAACTAGATGGAGCTCGGCTACCACTACCAACCGTTTTGATTAGGGCACAATAGATTGTCCGGGGTAGAATGGGAGAAAAATGTAGAACAAAACTGAAATTCTTTAAAAAGCCCAGATTTACTGGACCAGTTAAGACTAGAGGAACCTCCGAGACTGTTGCCCTGAGATACCCTTTAAACTTGGAACTGAAACTACTCCTGGAGGTCACCTTTCAGCTAAATAAACAGATTGTCTTATGAAATACACAGTATCACCTGTGAGTACTGTGCCTCTTTAAAAAGAAAAAAAAAAATCATCTATGTGACACCAAATGGTCAACAGTTACCCTAAAACAAAGATGAGAAGGGGGGGGACAGGGGAACTAGATTAATGGAAACAGAACAACCAGAATGGAAATAATGAGAATGTGGACACACTGTGAAAAATGTAACCAATGTCACTGAACAATACATATAGAAATTGTTAAAAGAGAACCTAATTTGCTGTGTAAACTTTCACCAAAAACACAATAAAATATTTTTAAAAAAAACAAAACCCCCAGCTACCACCACCGACTGCTCTGACCAGGATCACAACAGAGGGTTCTGGACAGAGCTGGAGAAGGATGTAGAAAAAAATTCTAACTCAAAAAAAAAGACCAGATTTACTGGCCTGAAGGAGACTGGAGAAACCCCAAGAGTATGGCCCCCAGACACCCTTTTAGCTTAGTGGTGAAGTCATCTCCGAGGTTCACCGTTCAACCTGGGAGTAGACAGCCCTGTAAAACCAGATGGGACTAATGAGGTACAGCAGTCCAGGGACAAGGGCCAGAAGGCAGAAGGGGACAGGGAAGCTGGTGATAGGGAACCCAAGATTGAGTAAGGATAGTGTTGTGTTGTGAGGTTGTTAACCATTGTTATAGGGCAACATGTGTACTAATGGTTAAATGAAAAACTATTTTGTTCTGTAAGCCTTCATCTTAAGTGAGAATAGCAGCACAATTGGAAGAGTGTAGTCGATGTCACTGAACTGTGCATATAGGAATTTTTGAAATGGTGTATCTTTGGCTATGTATATTTTCACCAAAAAAAAAAAAGGTCAAGAAGGGAAGAGGGTTGACATGTGGGGTTGTTAACCAATGTCATAAAGCAATGTGTACTACTGTTTCATGAGAAACTATTTGTTCTGTAAGCCTTCACCTGAAGTACAATAAAATAAATAAATAAATAAACAAACAAACAAACCCTATGAAGCACAGTTCTACTCTGATACATAAGGGTTTGCCAGCACTACAGCAACTGTTTTTTTTTTTTTTTTTTTTTAGAGGCCAGCAAGAGGTCAAACTGCCCTCACCCCAGCAGAAGGGTGTGACTGTAAAGGGGTAGCATGAGGGATAGAACTCTCCTGTATTTTCACTGTGGAGGTGTCTACATGAATGTCTACATGTGTTAAAGTTTATAGACCTGTACTCCGAAAGAAAAAGGTCAATTTAAAATACAATTTTAAAAATAAAAAATTTTAAGAGTTTACCAAAAGAAAACCCACCCCCGTGCCCCCACCCCTGCTGAGCTGAACTGGAGGTGAAGACTAAAGGGATTTAGGTAAACCAAGTAAGTCCCCCAGGCCCCAACCTTGCCACGGCCACCTCGCCCCATCCCACCGGGGTTAAAGTCCCCACCTTAAGAACCAGGCTCCACTGGGAGGTGTAGCTGGTTCAGCTTAGTCTGGCTCTGGCTCATTAGTCCCTGGAGAGGAGGCTCGGAACCTCCCAGAACTCAAGAGAACTAGACTAACCTCAAAAAGCAATACTCCTTTATAAGGAAAGGTCACAACTTCCATTCTTCAGATTTTATTATAAAAAAAAAGTAAAGTGCATCTTATTAAAAAAAATATAAAACCCACATAAATTCAGGGCTTCTGTGCTGGGCAGTGTCAATATCCCTTAGAGTTGGGGCAGTGCCCATGTGAGTGGGATGAATTAGAGACTGGGGTGATCTGAAGATGGGGCTAGGGTGGATGTGGGGAAAGGGACACATGGGGTCCCTCAGGCTGGGATGGAGGAAGGCAGGCAACAGTCTTACTGAAAGGGGAAACGTGTCGTAAATCCACTCCAGGACCCACACTGCCCTCTCTCTCGTGGCCACAGCCTGATGCAGGCCAGAAAGGTCCAGGAGGCGGGTTGGAGCCCAGGGCCTGGCGAGGGCTGCAGTGCCAGCCTAGCGCTCTGGTCCCTGAGGTGGAGGGATGACGGCAGCAACAACGATATCCCTGGCTGGCTGGCAAGCCAGGGGCGCCTGGGAGGCCCAAGTTGGCCCCTGGCTCTCAGTGAGGGAGCAGCCTGTGGCAGTAGGATAAGGCAGGAGGTGGAAGAGGCAAGTCAGTGAGGGACTTCCCACTGTGACTCCAACAACCACTGTGGATGAGTCCTCAGTGCCCTTGGGAGGTGTGAGGCTGGGAAGCCTGTGAACCGGAACAGTGGTAGGAGCGGCGCTCTTTGTGTCTCTCTCCCCTCTCACTCTTGTTTCACATTTTCAATTGTTTTCTTAAACATAGGGCTCAGTTTGTCTAAGGAGCACTGTTTTGTCCACCTGGGCAGGCCCCCATGTTTAGCCAGGACCTCGGGGGCCTTGGCTGTCTGGGCTGTAGGGGGGTGGGGGGACCTGCTACTGGCTGAAGAACAGCAGGCCAGCTGGCTCAATCGTTCCCAAGGTCTGGGCACCACGGCTGTGTCTGACAAGGAGCAGAGATCAAGACGGCCCCCTCTGAGCACTCCCGGCCCTTGAAGCCGGATGGCCTCCTCTGGAAGTCTGCTCTCACACCACAGAGTCCCGGATCTCAGAGCCCAGGCGTACTCGGGGCCGGGGGCACATGGGGGACACCTCCACAAAGCTGTCCTGGATGCTGAGCGGCCTCTTCTCTGACTCGGTGAAGACCCGGGGCCCTGGGGAGATACCCGACAGGGCCTGGTAGCCTCGGTGGTCAAGTGGGGTGCTAGGGGGGCCGACGCCATTGAGCGGCCGGGTCTCAGGTAGCCGCCCCACAGGGCGGGTCTTGGGGTGCACGCTGGCACACTCTCCCTGCTTCAGGAAGACTTTCATGCCATCCCGGTGCCGGTAGAGGAAGAACAAAGTTAGAAGAACCACAGCGAACACAAATAGCACACACATCACCAGGAACTCATTCCAGTAGGACTTGTCGGCACTCCAGGTACCTGTGCCAACTGGTGCACTCACACGCGACGTGTTGATAATGACAGGCACACTGCCACCCTGGTCTGCTTGGTCCGCCGCCCCATCCTCCACCATCTCTGGGCAGTAGCTGGCGACCAGCTGCTGGAAGCCATTCTCCAGGGACCAGCACTGGAAAAGCCCCAGCCTCTGCTGGCTGCCCACCAGCAGCAGCAGGTCCCCGGTGGGCAGCACACGACAGGAGGCTGAGGCATTGACAGGGACCTCATTGTGCATCCAGAGCCGGGTGGCCAAGTTGGAGGGGAGTGGGCAAGCCAAAGTGTTCACCGTGTTGGGCTGGAACTGGACTTGCTCACACAGCTTCTTGCCTATGGGTAGCAGAGGCATGGGGTGAAGGTGGGATGGCGTCCCAGTAGCCACAGGTCTACCTGCCTCCCTCTGGGCTGTGCTCCTTGTGCTAGGCACAGGGAACCCCTGGGGACTCCAGGCACTGTCTGACTCTCACTTCCCTGGGCCCTACTTGTAGGCCAGAGGGATGAGGACTTGAGGAAAGGCATTTACACCCATTAGTGTAATCAGACTTGGCCCTCACCTCTCTCCACCCTTGAAGAGGCACCTTACCTGTAGACATAATGGTCCGGGATCTGGGCCAGGAAGTGTTGCACAGGCCCTTGGCATTGGCCCCCTCAATGTCCTGGATCCACAACCTGAGGACCACAGGGAGTCTGAGATAGGCCAGGAAACCCCCATGAACCCCCATGGTCCAGCCGCCATGTTGATTAGGTAGGACTCCTAGCCTCCAAAACTATGAGACAATAAGTTTCTGCTCCTATAAGCTACCCAATTTGTGGTATTTTGTTCCAGTAGTCTTAGAAAATGAATATGCCATTTTTCTTAAAATATATGTATTTTTATATATTTTACTCATGTAGAAAAATCTGGGAGGATATCAAAATATCACTTTGATTCTAGGTGATAGTGTTAGAGGTAATTTTTCTTTTCAGGTTATCTCGGTTTTTTTAAGTTTTCTACATGAATGTTTTATAATTCAAATAGGTTAATATGAAAACAGTTTCTAATGGGACTATTGTGTATCCCTTGTTTTTTGTTACTTAAACATGTTCATATGTTAAATCCAGTCTCCTGCAAGGCAGTGCATGGCTGGGACATTTCATACTTTACTTGATTATGTCCCCACGTTAGAGATGATGGCACAGTGGTTAAGAGCTACAGCTGCTAACCAAAAGGTCGACAACTCAAATCCACCAGTCGCCACTCCCTGGAAACTCTATGCAGCAGTTCTCTGACCTATAGGGTTGCTATGGGTCAGAATTGACTTGAAGGCAACAGGTTTGGTTTTTTTTTAAGGCAAACAAAATTTATTGCCTGAACTACAGTACTTTAGAGAATAATTAGGGGAGCTAACCATTATACTGAGGTGATGGATGTAAATGAGGCCGTGTAGTGATCCTATAGAAGGCTTAGAGAATGTGCTCTGAGGTCAGAGCGCAGGGATGGACAGTGGGAAGGGGGCCTCTGGGAACGCTCACCTGGAGGCCAGCTCAGGCTGCTGGAGGCTGATGTGCCTGCAGCTGGCGCCGCTCCAAGCGCAGTAGGGGTCCCGGGCAAGGAGGCAGTCCCCGCAGCTCTGGTACAGGCTGCAGTTGGCCACAGGCACCTGGACTACGCCCGAGTATGAGGCAGCATACAGCAGCCCCTGCAGAGCAGACACGGGGATGAGATGCAGGCATGGCCAGCCAGAGCGCCACCCACAGCCACACCTGGCTCAGGTGCCCACCAGAGCCGGTGGCCAAAGGGCCTCCTCTTATGCTCCCAGGCAGCCCTGCTTTCTGAGTCTAGGCTCTCAGGTACTGAGCATGGCTCCCATGTCTTTCTGTCCTGCTGGGGCAAGAGAGGAAAAGCTGGGCGGGGACTGCTTGGCAGTAATGGAGGGGCCCCCCTACCCAGCATGATGCCCGGACTCCGTCTTCACCAGCTCACCCTGTTGGCGTCCAGCAGCAGGTTCTGCACGGGCTGTCCTGGGGGGAAGACCTGGAGCTCCTCGATGATGTGCACCCTGGAGCCCACATTCACAGCCTTGTGCAGCCGGCCATCACCTGCAGCACGGACAGGACTCAGGCCCTGGGTGGAGCTGCGGCCCAGGACCCACCAACTGGGCCCGTTGCCCCGAGCCTGCCCTGCTGCAGGCACTCACCGGTGCCCAGGAACAGGACATCATAGGTGTCGTGCAGGCCAACCACGCGGTGTACAGCCACGCGCTGGTAGCGGGCCCGAGGCTGCAGCAGAAGCATGTGGCTGCGGACCTGCCCATCCATCAGGAAGTGGTCCTTGAGGAAGTTCAGCACCCGGTCTGGGAGCTGCAGGGACGAGTTGATCCTCCTTTCCCGGGCGCTGCTGGTGATGCACTGAAGGAGAAGGCGGAGGCGTGAGGCGAGCGACACTTGGAGGGGCCAGCAGATCCTGCTGGGACCACTGGCCCGGCCTTCCCAGCAGACAGCAAGGGCATTTGCCTGACCCTCAGAAGCTGTGGCACATCAATTCATTTTCAAGGAGCCAACTTGCTGACCTGGAGGCCCAAGGCCCAAGTCTAGGGTATGGGGAAACCAAGGTTGGCAGGGTCTCCTTCCTGTGTCTCCTCCCTGCCCACTCCTCATTCACACACACACACAGACCACAAGACCCATGACCACATTTTCAGTTCCTTTAGCATCTTCCCACTGGTGTTCCCAGGAAACCCTGGGCGACCAGTGTCCTTGTGTAGCAGACACTGTCCTGCCCACATTCCCATAAGGCTGTGTGCAAGTAGCTCCCACACCTGCCTGGGGCTTCCTGATTCTTTCTGTGGGAGCTCTGAGACTTAATACCCAGAGTGATCCTCAACCAATGAGGCACGAGAGTTGGTGAAAATACCCTAGTGGGACAATTCTGAGTGTGTTCCACAGTCTCTCAGGCCCCAGCAGGGCTGAGTGCCAGCTGCCCACAGCGGTAACCAACCACTCACTGATACACCCTTTCTTGGGTTTCCTTCCTCCCTCTCTCACATTCCTATTCCCTTGCACTAATTCCTGAAATACCCTCAGATAAACTGCTTGTACTCATATCCTTGTCTCAAGGTCTGCTTTTTGGGGAACCCATTAGGCTGGAAGGAAAGGAGGAAACTTTCCTCACAACTTGGTCATTCAGTCACTCAATAATCAGACACAGCCCTTCCTCAAGGATCTCACAGTTGAGTGGGGGAAAGGAATGAGTGAATGGACAATTCAACAAGGACCAATAAGCGCCACAGTGGGGACACATCTGCCCAGCCTGAGACAGGGCTGAAGGCACTGCAACATTCATGGTCACATCTGACCCAATAAGACAAGCAGGCCTGGGCTTATGTTCCCATTTTAAAGATACAGAAACAGATTCAGAGAAGTCAGTGGGGCTAGGCAGCCCTGGTCCCAGCCTTGTGTGGGGATCCAAGTCTCCCTAGCACCCCACCCTGTGTGCTGGGGGTGAGTACCCACCGCTCCAGGCCGGGGCATGGGTACCGGGTGAGTCACGGTGTACCACTGCTGCGTCTCCCGGTTCACCTCCTTGTAGAGGCCGTTGAAGGCCTTCTGCACATCCTTCATGGTGAAGACACAGATGGCAGAGCCCTCTGTGGTCCCCCTGTGCCTACAGAGGAAAGGGCAGGATTAACCTGGGAGCCCTGGGGGTTCAGATGAGGTAGCTGGGCCCAAAGATAGCTCCTGGGCCTCCAGCCCTTGCCGCCCTTCTCCCCCCACCCCCAGCTGGGTCCTGGGGGCCCTACCACTGGGACGTGAAGACCCCATAGAAGAGGGTGTCGAGCCAGTCCTGGGGGCTAGGGCTCAGCGTGAAGACGTCCTGCAGCACGTTGAATGGGAAGCCATCATCGGGCCGGGAGCACAGCAGCTGAGCCTTCAGGAAGGATGTCCAGCGCTGCTGCAGGACCCGCTCACCACCCTCATCACCCTGGGAGAAGGACAGAAAGGTTGGGCTCAGGCACAATGCGGGGAGGGGGGCAGGAGGCATGGTGTCCCCTCCCCAGTAGGAGCTGAGACAGACCAGGAATGAAACCAAATCAAAGGCAGGACTGAGTCCCATTTAAAATCAAATCTTGAAGGCAGCATAAATCTGCCATCACCAGGATGCTGGTTAAACAAAGGAGGGTGCATTCCCTACCGTGGAATACTAGGAAAAAAGGGTGCAGGGAAGACTGTTACAGATAGGGAAAGATGTCCTCGGTTTACTGCTGTGCAAAAAAGGAAGCTAAAGAACCCTAATACAGTATAGTAACTCAGGTTTGTAAATAAGTTAATAATATAAATACATACATATTCACATATATGAAAAAAAATTAGCAAGGAATATTCTAAAACATTAACAGTGGTCATCTTATGGGGATGGGGGTGGGATTATACCACTAATAGTTAACATTTAGATAATGCCTATTACTTTTCTAATATTTTTCTAAAAGCTTTATATGGATTAATTAATTTAATCCACGTGACAACTCTGAGGGTGGTGGTGGTGGTATGCAGAGGGTGAATGACTTGCCCAAGATCACACAACCAGCGAAGTTTGAACCCAGGTAGTCTGGCTCCAAGGCCTGTGCTCGTAATCACGATGCTAACCAGTTAACCAGGTACCTCTGACTCAGTTCTGACTCATGGTGACCCCATGTGTGTCAGAGTAGAACTGTGCTCCATAGGGTTTTTAGTGGCTAATTTTTCAGAAGTAGATCGCCAGACCTTCCTTCTGAGGTGCCTCTGGGTGGACTCAAACCTCTAACATTTCAGTTAGCAGCCAAGCACATTAACCACCCAGGAACCCCTACCATGATGCTACACTGGCTCTTTCTCTTATAAGTGATTTTTGTACATGCTTTTCTTTATTGTCACAATTTTTAAAGAAGAAAAATAAGACATTTCAAATTAAAAAGGAAAGAAAAGCCATTAGCCAAGCTGCTCCTCCCTGGAGGACAGGGAAAGGCCACAGATCTGGGGCCTCCGGGAGGCTCCCGGGTCTCGGGCGGCCACCCTGATGGTCCACTCCCTCACCTTGCAGATGCGGGCGATGCGGGACACAATGGTGTTCTCAAAGAACTCAAACTCCTGGCCTGTTTCACTGAAGAAGAAGTAGATCTTATCGTCATCCCCCTGCAAGCTGCCCAGGCTCTCAGGAATGTAGGCTGAGGCCACAAAGGCTGGGTCTGTGGGGCCAATGGGGAGTGTGGAGTCAGCAGGCAAGGCTCTGTCTTGGGCCCTGCTAGGGGGAGAGTGCCCCTCCCTCAGGACTCCCATGCTGGCCTAAGCCCATGGCCCAGGCACTCCCCACTGGGTGGGTGGTGGGCAGGCTTCACCTTGTAGCCAGTTGAGGGAGCTCTCAGTCTTGGTGGGGCGGAGGCTCTGGCTCCGGGAGATGGCCGGGTCATTCCCCTGGAAGCTGCTGACTGTTCCAGTGTAGAGCTCGCCATCTGCCAAAAGAACGTTCCCATGGGAATGGCCCCTTTGGCACGTCCCCTACTCCCCCGCTGAGGGCCTGGAGTGACCCCAAAGCGGCCCATCTTGCCCAGGGTGGGCAGGGAGGGAGCAGGAACTGGGAAAAAACAATCCAGGGCTCTGCGGCAGCCCTGCGGTCAGTCTTTGCTTTGGTTTGGTGTGGCATGGATCCACCAGCTCAGCCCTCTTGCCCTGCCCACCGACCTGCCCCCACATGGAGCCTCAATGAGCCCATCCTGCCCACAACACTCACCGACCACCAGGGCTGTAGACTTGAAATTTGGGTCAAAGGGACAACGACCCTTGCCATCTTCCAAGAGGACATTCCCTGCCTTGTCCTGCGCCAGAGTAAAGTTCTCCATGTTCTGCGGGGGAGCAGACAGGGAGTGAGCAGTAGGCTCATACAGGAAAGGGGGAGGTGTGCCAGAGAAGGCAGCCCTGTGGACAGGTGAGGTGCACGGGAGGGACAGGCACGTGTGCCAGAGGCCAAGCACCTCAGCTCAGTACCCAGCACACAACCCCAGCACCACCTCACAGGGACCTATGAGGTGGGCACAATTAGCCCCATTGACAGGGAGGAGACGAGGCTTAGAAAGGTGATGTGAGCCAGGAGAGACAGAGACATGATTCAAACGTAGTATGCCTGACTCCAAAGCTGGTGCTCTAATCCACAGCCTCAAATGTCACCCTCTGCAAGGGTGTGCATAGGATAGAAGCAAGGGGGTGTGTGGGAGGAGGGGGGTGTACAAGGTGAGATAGAGGGAATCCAGTGAGAGCAGGGAAGAGAAGCTAGAGGAAGCGAGAAGCATTGAGTCATGGATCTGATGGGATCTCTGTGCCTGGTGATCACATGCCCCCTCCTTGTCCCTGTGATCGACCCCAGCTGTCGGGGCTGAGGGTCAGGGTCACAGGGCCTCAGGGCTCTCAGTGCTCAGCACTGGCTACAAGTGCCCCCTTGGGCCCTTTACCAGGGGTCGGAGCTGGAAAACAGCTCCCTGGGGCAGAAGGAGGGCTGTTCCCAGGCTAGCCACGGCTCACCCCAGGGCTGACGAGAGACACTCACGATGTAGGTGCACACGGGGCTGAAGGCTGCTGTGCCGCAGGTGAACAGGTGGCTGCTATTGAGTGGCAGGAGGATCTTGATGTAGTTTTGACAATCGCGCTGGGGGAACGAGGGAGAGGCTATCAGAGACCAGGCTCAAATATGTCACCAGGGGGCACCGCCGAGCCCTCCCCGCTAGACCCAAGGCCAGTCCTGCAGCTGAGGATGGCCCCACTGCTCCAGGGACCTGGGGGTGGGGCACTCAAGTCTGGGAACAAATGAGAATCCAGGAGCTTCGCCCCGCAGGGTAGACAGAGGACCACAGAGCTCAGCTAGTTCTGTGGTTTCCAAAGGTTCTTCAGTCTAGGGTGTGACAGGACAGAACCCCAGCCTTTCAGGCTGTCTTGAGCCCCCTAAGGGCCCTCTTCAGAACCTCAGTGACCACTGGTCCTTCTCACCCACCTCGGGAGAGGAAGCCTTGGCCCTGAACCCTGACCCCAGACTCAGGCAGCACCTCCAGCTGTTCTTCCTGAGAGCTCTCCACTCTCATTAATGACAACTCCATCTTTTCAGCTGCTGAGGCCCCAGTTGGCCTTGTCTCCTCTTTTCTCTCACCTCCCACATTTATTCCATCAGGAAATCCTGGTGGTTCCATCTTTAAAACACATCCAGACTCTGACCATTTCTCACTGCCTTTACTGGCACTTCCCTGGTCCGCACCACCATCATCATGGCCCCTCACTGATCTCTGCCTCGGCCCCACAGAGCCTATTCTGCGTCACAGTGACCAGGGACAGATCATGCCATACCACACCTCTGCTCACTCTCGCATTTACCTTATCCTGCTCCTTCTTCTGGTGCCCTATGGCCAACTCCTTCTGCTCCTCCTAATCTTCACTCAAATGTCACTTTTGTTTTAAGAAATGTAACCTGATCACCCTTCAAACTGACTGATTTTTATCTGTTTTTTTCCCCTTTCCCCACAATTATATCTCCAGTGCCTAAAAGTGCTGGGCAGAGTAAGTGCTTAATAAACACTATTGAATAAAGGAATGGCAAGTCAGAGGCAGTCAGGGCTCAAATCTCTGTCTTGACCCCAAGTCCAGTGTGCTTTTAGCAAGCCACCTGCTGTAGTCAGGACCAGGAGTCTTCTGGGAATGGTGGAGAATTCTCCAGGAGAATCCAGGCTAAATCAGACCCCACCCAGTGGCTGGCCAAAACCAAACCAGACTGTCAGAACCTGCTATATCAGGTACCATCTACAGAAGGACACAACTCCCAAACACTGCCCATGCAGGCAGCTGATGTTTATTTAGCACTTACTAGGTGCCAGGTACTCAGTGAATCCTCACAATAAGTTCAGTGAGACAAGTATTATTATCCCCATTTTACAGGTGGGGACACTAAGGCTCATAGAGGTGAATCTACTTGACCAAGGTCACACAGACAATAATTATAGGGCTGGGATTCAAACCCAGTCCTGGCCATCTCAGAAGCCTATGCCCTTTCTGCCACACCTGGCTGCATCTGCTCCCACCTCCTGCCTCCGTCCTGGGCCCAGGTCCACTGTTCCATCCCTCCCCCAGCCAGAACTGCCACCAGGTGCTGGCTCACCTGTGGGTCCTTGCCCTTGAAGCTGCACTGCTGTTTCCTCTCCGCATCTGCGTGCCACAGCAGCTGGGAGACAAGAAAGGGGAAGGTGAGTGTGCATGGGGGACTGGAGGGTTCACTGAGCGGCTCTCCTCTCCTGTCAGCATCATCCTTGGACCCAGGTCAGTCTTCCTGCCCATCTTCCCCTCTGCCGTCCTCTGCCCAGCAGCCAGTCTGGGCAGCATCGCTCACCTCCTGGTACCCTCCACCTGGCAGGAAGCTGATGCTGCTGTTGAGTGCAAAGAGGGCCTCTTGGGCGCCCACGTACAGAGTGTTGCCATCCCTGCTCAGCAGAAGGGCTGTGTAGTTGGAAATGTTGTCAGCTTCAAATCTGAGTACCAGCCGCTCTTCAGAGCCTGGAGAGAGGAAGATGGACATTACCTGGGGGCCATGCCTCCCACAAGAAGCCTCTTAGACCACCCTCTAGAATGGGCCACTTGTCTGAAGTAGGTCAGTAAGTGGTGGGTGGCAACTGGCTGGGGGCAGGGGAACAGGTTTAAAGGGGAAGCAGCATTTTTGGTCTCTCAATCATTATGTAAGAAACGAACGTGCAAAAATATATGTGAAAGATCTTGGGGAACATCTAGCTCAGTTGGCAAGACACAGTTTATAAGGACAATGTTCTACATTCTACCTTGGTGAGTAGTGTCTGGGGTCTTAAAAGCCTGTGAGCCGCCATCTGAGATACTCCAGTGGTCTCATCCCTTCGGGAGCAAGGGAGAATGAAGAGAACAGGATAGAAGGAAAAGATTAGTCCGAAGGACTAACGGACCACAGCTACCAAGGCCTCCACTGGACTGAGTCCAGTACAGCTAGATGGTGCCCGGCTACCACC